TGTGAAAAATCAATAAATATATTTTTTTTTTATGACTGAGATATTTATTGTGTTTTATCATGGGGGGGGGGGGGGGGGGGGGGGATCGGGGATAAAAAATAAAATAAAAATACAATAATAATAATAATAAAAAATAAAAAAATAAGATAACAAAGAGCAAAGGAAAAATAAAATAAAAATAAAATAAACTAAGATAAAAAGTAAAAAATAAACATATGTAAACCTATATACATACATACAGGTGACAATGAGAATACATACATATCACACTCAAAGATTTAGACATATGTTCACTAAAAATATATATATATATATATAAATATATTTAAACACAAGACAACACAGCACAGTCCTATCACTGTTGTGTATCACTATTGTTAGAAACTTTTAGAATTGCTGCCGGACACCTGGGCTTCTCTTTCACAAAACTATCCGCTTTCACACAGAGAGACTTGAGAAAACCTGGAACTGTCATATCTCTTCATGGCAAAAAGCCGCAGAGACATATTTTACATTCTTAAAACCTGAAAAGTAGATTAAACAAGAAGGAGGCTCTTACAACCACCAGGTCCCAGCGGTCCTGGTACTTCTCTCTGACTTCAGGAGCAGCGGAGATCAGTGCGTTAAAGATGTGGACGTCACCTGAAAACACAACTTTCAATTTAAAACTGCAAGCGGAGATCAGGGGCCCTAAGGTCACACACGGCTATCCCGGCTGGGTTTTGTCTTTTGAGAATGTAAATGTTTGTGGTCTTAATTGTTTTCTCTCCAAATAAGTTGTGTTTATGTTTTAGGATTATATTGAACTGGAACTATATGAAATTATTCAATCATTATTTGCCAGTGAGACAGATTCACAAAGCTGCCATAATGTGTCACCTTTTTATTGTATCTGTATGATTTTGGACTTCAACTTTGTGTATGAATCACTTCAAAGTAAACAATATATATAAATACATTGATTACACATTATTTATAATTAAGTAATGTTCTTTGCTTGACTCAGAGAAATCTACTGTTGTGATTTAGAGCGGTAAAAACTGGCTTTTTCCCTTCAAAGAGTTAGCAAAACATTAGCTTCAGTCTTTTCAGTCGTTCTTCTGCTGTGAAGCTACTGTTCTGTCACAATGTGTATGTACTTTTTTTATATAGAGCATTTTTACAGACCAAGGTACAGACCCAAAGCACTTTACAAAGTTCATGACAGAAGCGAGACCTGAACACACTGGTCCATCAAAGCCTCCGACCAAACACCATCCATTCACTCTTAACATTCAGACCTATTGTGCAATGTTTTTAGTGGAAGGGGAAACCGGAGCACCTGGAGGAAACCTACGCAGACACAGGCAGCCTCTCACCTGTGACTCTGTTGTTGAGCATGTCTGTGTAGAAGTGGAAGGCTCGGCTGAAGGCTCCGTGCTGCAGACATCGTCACTACATTATTATCATCACAGTCAGGATACAGAGACAGATGTGTTTCCTGAGAGAGGTCTTCACCTTGACCATTCCTCGGATCAGAGCAGAGTAGCAGCGCGTGTCTCTCTCTGGGATTAAGTTGAAGATCCGCTCTGCGTTGTTGTTTTCTCTCCAGGTGTATTTGAGGAGCTGCGCCGCTTTTCGGAACCTCCCTTTACGCTTGCGGCCCTGAGCCTCCCCCTCCTCCTGTCCACGGGAACAACAACAGATGAAGTAGGAGCCAAAACTACCGGAGTAGAACATGGGAATGATTTGGAATGATTGTTTTTGATCAGGGACAAACACACAATGGTCTGATAAAACAATAACATGTTTGTCTATCACGCGCACACACACACACACACACACACACCAAGAGGACTGAGGAGAGAGCAATGGTGGCGCGCTCATATGAGGATATGTCATGTGCATTTTTGCCAAAAACATAGTTTCTACCCTGTTCCAATTAGAGAAACACAACTAACTCAGAGTCCATTTACTATGAAACAATTCAGCCATATTCAAGCACACAGACACGCACACTGACACATACACAGACAGACACACACAGACAGACACACACAGAGACAGGGACACAGAGAGACAGACACACACACAGAGACAGGGACACACACACTGACACATACACAGAGACACACACAGACATACACACAGAGACAGGGACACACAGAGAGAGGGAGAGACAGTGACACACGTAGAGACAGAGACACACACACAGAGACAGGGACACACACAGAGAGACAGAGACACACACAGACACACACAGAGAGACAGAGACACACACACACACACACACAGAGACAAAGGGAGAGACACACACAGAGACACAGACATACTCACAGAGACAGAGACACACACACAGAGACAGAGAAACACACACACACACACACACACACACAAACACATAGAGACAGAGGCACGTGAACACACACACACCAAAGTGGATTGAGGAGAGAGCAATGGCGGCGTGCATATGAGGCTATTAAATACTGTGAACGCAAACATCACAAAAACAGATTTGTGTGTTTGTGAAAGACAAGACAACACAACTATAACGTAACACACATATTTCCTGTCTCTCACACCATATAAACCAGTTCTTTCAGTTTGTTTTCAATTTTAAAAGTTAAAATCTCCGTCTCTCACCGAGTCCTCGGGGTCGGCCGTTCCTTCAGCAGCGGGATCACGGTCACAGTACAGACAAATCAGGTCCAGAAGGTCATGAGTCGTTTCCATGGAGACGGTTTGACCTAAAAGATGGAACATTATTTTAGATTTAAAACATAGATAATCCAGAATGCGTTTTCCAAAAAGGTTCAGGAAAAGAATTGTAAACTTTTCTCTATGTCCCGTGCTCTCTGGACTATAAAGACACACCTGTATATAAGCCGCACCAGCTACAGTTCAAAAGGAGGTCAAAGTTGTCCACATATAAGCCTCGCTGGAATATAAGCCGCAGGTTTTCATGCTGTAATGTTTTAACTGGACACAACACGATTTAGCGAGGTTTTTAACAGTTTAACCGTTAGCTTCTGTAGCTACTGAAACTGGAAGGAGGCAAAATAATAAGTCCATAAACTCAGCTCACAATAATAACACACATATTAGCCACATCGCTGTATAAGCCTCATCGCCGTATAAGCGATATAGTCCTCACTGGTCTGACCATGTAGAAGAGCAGTAGAATAGTCCTCACAGACCATGTAGAATAGTCCTCACAGACCATGTAGAATAGTCCTCACAGACCATGTAGAAATGTCCTCACAGACCATGTAGAAATGTCCTCACAGACCATGTAGAATAGTCCTCACAGACCATGTAGAAATGTCCTCACAGACCATGTAGAATAGTCCTCACAGACCATGTAGAATAGTCCTCACCGCTCTGCAGGAGCTGGTCGTACATGTCCACAGCTGCAGAGACCCTCCTCAGACTCAGCCTCTCCCTCAGAGCTGCTTCACTCACTTCCTCCAGGACCAGGGACACGGACTGTGGCATCAGACACTGCAACAACATGGGACTATGTGAGACTGCATGTGTCTCACTGGTACATGTGTCTCACTGGTACAGTGTCTTACTGGTGGTACTGGTACATGTGTCTCACTGGTGGTACTGGTACATGTGTCTCACTGGTACATGTGTCTCACTGGTACATGTGTCTCACTGGTGGTACTGGTACATGTGTCTCACTGGTACATGTGTCTCACTGGTGGTACTGGTACATGTGTCTCACTGGTACATGTGTCTCACTGGTGGTACTGGTACATGTGTCTCACTGGTACATGTGTCTCACTGGTACATGTGTCTCACTGGTACATGTGTCTCACTGGTACATGTGTCTCACTGGTACATGTGTCTCACTGGTACATGTGTCTCACTGGTACATGTGTCTCACTGGTACATGTCTCTCACTGGTACATGTCTCTCACTGGTACATGTGTCTCACTGGTACATGTGTCTCACTGGTACATGTGTCTCACTGGTACATGTGTCTCACTGGTACATGTGTCTCACTGGTACATGTGTCTCACTGGTACATGTGTCTCACTGGTACATGTGTCTCACTGGTACATGTGTCTCACTGGTACATGTGTCTCACTGGTACATGTGTCTCACTGGTACATGTGTCTCACTGGTACATGTGTCTCACTGGTACATGTGTCTCACTGGTACATGTGTCTTACTGGTACATGTGTCTCACTGGTACATGTGTCTCACTGGTACATGTGTCTTACTGGTATATGCGGCTGAGCAAAGTCTTTGGTGAAAAGCTTTGGGTTGGAGTTGACAAAGTATTTTGCTGCAGCTCGGCCTGACTCCAGAGAGAGAGAGAACAAAGCCTGAGGAAAGGAAACCATCAATCAATAGATCAATCAAAATATGACGACAAGTTGCTTTGAACTTACAAATTCAGAAGAGGTTCTTGGAGAAAGGTACGAGTCGTCCTGGAACTGATGAGGATGAGCTGTGGGGTCCTGCTCCAGACACATCAAAGGGTCACATCAAAGGGTCACATCAAAGGGTCACATCAAAGAGTCACATCAAAGAGTCACATCAAAGAGTCACATCACAGAGTCACATCACAGAGTCACATCACAGAGTCACATCACAGAGTCACATCACAGAGTCACATCACAGAGTCACATCACAGAGTCACATCAAAGGGTCACATCAAAGGGTCACATCAAAGGGTCACATCAGAGTGTCACATCAAAGAGTCACATCACAGAGTCACATCAAAGGGTCACATCACAGAGTCACATCAAAGGGTCACATCACAGAGTCACATCAAAGGGTCACATCACAGAGTCACATCAAAGAGTCACATCAAAGAGTCACATCAAAGAGTCACATCACAGAGTCACATCACAGAGTCACATCAAAGAGTCACATCACAGAGTCACATCACAGAGTCACATCAAAGTCACATCACAGAGTCACATCACAGAGTCACATCACAGAGTCACATCAAAGGGTCACATCAAAGGGTCACATCAGAGTCACATCAAAGAGTCACATCAAAGGGTCACATCAAAGTAAAGTCATAATTAAAGGGCCCTAATCTGTCCTCATTAAAGGGCCCTAATCTGTCATCATTAAAGGGCCCTAATCTGTCATCATTAAAGGGCCCTAATCTGTCATCATTAAAGGGCCCTAATCTGTCATCATTAAAGGGCCCTAATCTGTCATCATTAAAGGGCCCTAATCTGTCATAATAATAATCTGCTCTTTTCCAATACGTCTTTAACTGATAACAGTAATTCAGAGATATTGGAATTTCTAAATTACTTTTTCAGCCTCTAAATCTTGTTATTGTTTTCATTTCGATGTCCCGCCCTCCACCGTTTCACCAATCAGAAAGTCTGTGATCCGGGCGCCAGAACTCACCGTGTGGAGCTAATCTCACTGGTAAAGTACCATGTGGCGCAGAACTAAAAAAGGTCTCGTTATGATTCTAAAATCATTAACGACAAAACAAGGAATAAATCCAGGATTTCTATCTTTGTGAAAAAGGTGTTGGTTATAGATTTGTTGTTGACAAAACTCTTGTCTATTCAGCTGTTATGGTCCCAGCTGGATTTGTCTGCATATCTGGCAACCTGAGTCAGGGAGAGTGGGAGAGGCTGCAGTACCACTCTTGGCCACACTGTTACTTACTCTGTTGACGGTCGCAGCCAGAGCTTCTAAAACAGCCGTACTGCTCCTAAAAAATTTATAAATACATGAATACGTTTAAAGAAGATTGTAAAACTATCTTACCAATACTTACCATGTTTTCTTTTTGGGAATGACGACACTCTCTGAAGAATCTACAAAGACACATAAAAAGTTAATAAAAAGTATAATTAATTTGATTATGTTCTAAAGTGATTTACCCGTGTGTGCCTCAGCAGCGTGTTGTTGGAGGACACGGCTCCAGTGAAAGCTCCTGAAGGGTTAGAAAGTATAATATTAATGCATCAGATTTATGTCAAAGTTAAAGTACAATGTTCTTTAAGTCCACACGGCTGCGAGAAGCAACGACAGTAACCACAGGTGCCCCGAGGCAAACAGACGGAAGCGAGGCTACCAATCTGTGCCGTGCCTTGGACATATATGCAATGTATAGCTGCAGCCGCCCCACTGTGGCACCTGGTGTTCCCAGAGGTCTCCCATCACAGGACTAACTAGGCCCTGCCCTGCTTAGCTTCAGAGGTGCTTCCCAAAGGCCCTGTGCCACTGTTACCCACTGAGGGAAGAATAAAGATGATCTTAAAGAGCGACTAAACACCTGTGCCCAGCCTGACTCCGCCCACATGAAGAGCCTGACTCCGCCCACATGAACAGCCTGACTCCGCCCACATGAACAGCCTGACTCCGCCCACATGAACAGCCTGACTCCGCCCACATGAAGAGCCTGACTCCGCCCACATGAAGAGCCTGACTCCGCCCACATGAACAGCCTGATTCCGCCCACATGAACAGCCTGACTCCGCCCACATGAAGATTTGAAAATGTTCTCTAAAAAGGGCGTTGCCTGGAGGACCAAGGGACAAGAAGGGGGGCTTAGAGTTGGGCGTGGTCTGGGCTGTGATTGACAGCTCACTTGTCACACAACAAAACCAGACAGTTGTCATTGCTGCTTAAAGCAATAGTTTACAGACCAGAAAGTATCATTCCACTCTTGTTTACACACTAAGATAATGTAAAGCTACACACCTGAACCTAATCACACTCAATAATCTCAGAATGGCTCATGTAATTTAATTTTAATCCACTAGATGGCGCCAGAATACTCCAAACTGCAGCTGGGGCGTGTGTGAGAGTTGGATGGGTTCACATCACTGGCTCTGACAGACTGACGTCACACAAAACAACTGATGTCATAGAGAACTTCAGAGTCAATGGAGAGGCCAGAACCAAATTCAAATGTAGTACCACCAGAAAGGTTGAGAGGGCGCCACACAGACGTTTTTTTGGCTCAAAAGTGATATTTTATCTAATTTGAACTAATGTGAGATTTCATAACACTTTTAAGCAACTTTTGTTAAAGTTAAACTCATCATTCTATCAATGTGCAGAAGCCAGTACTTTTCCCTTGTTTTGTCTATCTGAAGGCCAAGCTACAAGCACACCGTGGAAGCTGCTGATTGGAGGTCTCCATGCCTCCGCTCTGTATAATACACTTGCATTCTATTGTTTCTGTGATCGTGTGCTTTGATCGTGCTGTCTCTACCATCGACAATAAAACATGTCTTCTGTCTGAATGTAAGACGCGATCCCAGACTATGTCATCTTCTTCAGGTGGTGGAGGATGCGGGCATTGTCTGTAACATCTAGAGAACAGAAGACTTTTTTTTTTACACAAAAATGTGTTTTTTTTTTAAGCCAAAACAGAGAAACCTCAAGAGAATGCATCTGGACCAGCACACTTGGACAATCTGCACAGCCCCTGAGTCCACTCAGGCTGTGAGCTGCTGAGACATGGACAACACCATGCGTCCTCTTTTGCATGGACATGATTTGGAAAAATTGGATTACACAATTTGGACATAATTTGGACTGAATTAAATTGCTGAATCTGGACACTGAAGCTGAAACGTGTGATTGAAAGACACGTCACAGAAGAATTGATGGCTCGACACAAATGCAGCCTGAAAGAATCAACACAGAGAAGTGGGAGAGACTGTTTTCAAAGCAATATCTGGAACCATCGACTGATGAAGTTTGGTATTTTACTGAAGATTGTTGACAAGTTTTATGAAAGATCTGAACATGTTTTATGAGTTTTATGAGTTTTTGAAGTATTCCGAGTTCTGAGTTTTTTGAAGTACAGAGTGAAGTACCGAGTTTGAGTTTTTGATGTATTGAGTTATGATGTTATGTTGCTGTTTATCGATCCTGATGGTCACACGTGAATGTATGACCAGAGGGGGGAATGTGAGATTTCATAACACTTTAAAGCAACTTTTGTTAAAGTTAAACTCATCATTCTATCAATGTGCAGAAGCCAGTACTTTTCCCTTGTTTTGTCTATCTGAAGGCCAAGCTACAAGCACACCGTGGAAGCTGCTGATTGGAGGTCTCCATGCCTCCGCTCTGTATAATACACTTGCATTCTATTGTTTCTGTGATCGTGTGCTTTGATCGTGCTGTCTCTACCATCGACAATAAAACATGTCTTCTGTCTGAATGTAAGACGCGATCCCAGACTATGTCATCTTCTTCACTAAAATGTCTAAAAAATGACCAGGATATGTAGACAGCACTACAATAAACATATTTATGCAGTTTATGAGTTAAAAAAAGTTGATTTGGTGTTTAGTCGCTCTTTAACTATTCTTAGTGAACGAATAGCAATAGAGGTTTCAGATTAATCCACGGTTATGTGTGTGTTAGAAGGAAAGGGATTCATTAAATGTCATTATTTTAGCAGAATTGTAATTACATGTCATTGACCAAACACGTATGTAAACCCACGATACTGGAACATCTGCCCTTTACGACCGTTCACTTTATAATACCGTCCCTCCCTTTAATGCACCGCGGAATGTCTATTGTGTGTACTTACTGCATTTGTATATAGTGGTAATTCAGAGATTTTTTATGCATGCTTTGTATCTAGTTTTACTCACAATGTTATTTACAATTCCAATAAAAATACTTTATAGTGCACTAAATGCAAAGTGGAAAAGGGTACTGTCTTCCATTGTCTTTGGCAATGTCCAGAAATACAAAAGTTTTGGCAGGAAGTTGTGGGTCAGGTTCAAAATATTCTGAGTGTCCAAATTACATTTGCACCAAAATTTGTTATTTTAGGATCATATGCAGAAGCACGACTCAGAGAGAGTCACAAGGCCTTCATAAATGTTGCTATATTGTTAGCAAAGAGATTGATAGCACTCTGTTGGAAAGACATTAAAAGGCCAAATATAGGACGATGCTTTCTGAATTATCTACAACACTCCCTTTGGAAAAGATCACATCTACAATCAAACATAAACAAGATCAATTCGGCAAAATCTTGGACCCTTTGATCAAGTATATTGCAACAACGGATTTAACAAATATGATGGAAGAGACTGAACACAATTAAATTGTTTCTTTTTATACGTGATAACGTATAAAAACCATATTCCTGATTAATGTATGTAATTTATTTTGTTTTATTGTTTGTGTTTGTATTTGTTTTGATCTTTTTTTTGAAAATCAAAATTCAATAAAAAATATTGTTGGCAAAAAAATAAAATACTTTATAGTCTGCTTCTGAAATCCGACTAATTCAAAATTTCCGATTGACTTTGATTTAAAATGTGACATTGCAGATAACTTACAAATAAATCGCCTCTTTATCACACGATCACAAATGTGTAAAGTAAATCTGTAAACAGGGCCCACATCCACACGTGGATCACAGACTGTATGTTTGTCATAGATCCACACGTGGATCACAGACTGTATGTTTGTCATAGATCCACACGTGGATCACAGACTGTATGTTTGTCATAGATCCACACGTGGATCACAGACTGTATGTTTGTCATAGATCCACACGTGGATCACAGACTGTATGTTTGTCATAGATCCACACGTGGATCACAGACTGTATGTTTGTCATAGATCCACACGTGGATCACAGACTGTATGTTTGTCATAGATCCACACGTGGATCACAGACTGTATGTTTGTCATAGATCCACACGTGGATCACAGACTGTATGTTTGTCATAGATCCACACGTGGATCACAGACTGTATGTTTGTCATAGATCCACACGTGGATCACAGACTGTATGTTTGTCATAGATCCACACGTGGATCACAGACTGTATGTTTGTCATAGATCCACACGTGGATCACAGACTGTATGTTTGTCATAGATCCACACGTGGATCACAGACTGTATGTTTGTCATAGATCCACACGTGGATCACAGACTGTATGTTTGTCATAGATCCACACGTGGATCACAGACTGTATGTTTGTCATAGATCCACACGTGGATCACAGACTGTATGTTTGTCATAGATCCACACGTGGATCACAGACTGTATGTTTGTCATAGATCCATCACTTCAGACATGACCTCGTCCCGTCAGAGGATGTTCGCTGGAGTCTCGCACAAAAACACCGCCATATTTCTGTTCGACAAGTGACAATTTTAAAGAAACGCAACGAAGTCAGCGTGGTTAAGCTTCCTCACCTGCAAAACCATAATCTTTCGATGTTATTTAGGAGAAATTGTCCGTTTTTCTGCAGGCAATGCCCTACGTGCCTCCCGGGCGCCGCCATGTTGTTAGGAAGCGATGCATCGTGGGTGGAAGATACCAACACGAGAAAAGTTGTGTAATATCATTTTGTGTCATTTTATGTTCACTTTATACATAATTGTAAGTATTAATATAGTATACTCCGAAATATCAAGTCTAAAAAGATAAATAAATACATGAAACTACCCATTTTCAAATAGATTACCCCCCCGTGTGCTGGTGACAGTGGTACAGTCCCACGTGTGGCAGAAGCAGCAGCTGAAGACGCGTGGGTTTGGGCTAAAGTCATGAATTCGAGTGTTTAAAATAGTTTTAAACGTGATAATTCTTCACCATGATGTTCGGAAAGGAAACACCATGGCGCCGTCTACAAGGCATGTCATTCGGACTGTTTTCTACTGAGGAAATAAGGTAAGAAGCTCCAGCAACAGCGTCAAAACAACATGAGTTAGCTACATGTGAGTGATATAGAGCTGTGATAATATATAGGAGAGGTTGTAATAGTATTTTAAAGTGATAGCATCCTTTAAAACTTTACATAATTAAAGTGATTTATGCATAATGTTGAGACATGTACTTTTCAGTGTGCTAGCTACTTATTCTAGAAAGACAGGAGACTTTCACAATAATACTGCATTTTAGATATTGTTTGTAAAGTTATAAAATGCTATTATATTTATTGTCAATATTGTTGTGACTCAGTTCTGTCTGTATTATTTATTGTCTTATGTTTGTAAAAAGTAATACGTTGTTCTTGTTCCATGTTGTGATTCTCTCCATCTTTTTAGAAAATTGAGTGTGAAATTGATCTCAAGCTCCAAATTCCTTGATAATGTTGGAAACATGGCTCCGAACAGCCTCTACGACCTGGCCCTGGGTCCATCTGACAGCAAAGAGGTTTGTCTCAATGAGTAATCCACTTTGTTTCTATGTATATACAGGTACAGTTTCCAAAAGGGCTCGCAGTAAAATTAAAACTAGAATAATTTAAATGAGCATCAAGCTACAGTCAGGTCAAAACATGCCAAAAATAGATATGAATAAAACATGAATAAATGAAAGCAATGGGAAAACAAAGGTAAAGGAATTAATTGAAATATTAATTCCTTTACCTCGCGTGGTAATGAAAGCCAGAGAATGTCGCGCTCTGAGGTTTAATAATACATCTTGGTATAACCTTTTAGTTTTACACATCACCTTCAAAGCAAACTTACCATTGGCTTTGTAAATATCACAAAAGAGGTAGTGTTGTCCAGCACGATTGTTGATTCACCAAGAATTTGTTTCTTGGTTCTGTTTCAGGTGTGTGCCACGTGTTGCCAGGACTTTAACAGTTGTCCCGGTCACTTCGGTCACGTGGAGCTGCCTCTGCCGGTCTTCAACCCGCTCTTCTTCGATGTAAGACCCTTTTATCTTAAGAACTACACAACAACACCCTAAGAACTACACAACAACATTTAAATGGGAAAATTTTACATCAAATGATCAAAAAGATAGTTGATAGAATTAGACCTGGTTTTATTTGTTTGGTCCAGTTCCTGTGCTCCTCAGAGTCCCAGCAGGAGGCCGGTCCCTGTGCTCCTCAGAGTCCCAGCAGGAGACCAGTCCCTGTGCTCCTCAGAGTCCCAGCAGTAGGCCAGTCCCTGTGCTCCTCAGAGTCCCAGCAGGAGACCAGTCCCTGTAGCTCTAACATGTCACAGATGTACCTTGGGGTGGACCATGGAGAGACCATGGTGGACCTCTGTAACAATCGGAGCTGCTTTAAAGTGTATTCTCTGAGCCACAGGTGCAGAGACTAATGTGATCATTACTTACTGCATGTTATGTCATAAAATAAGCAAAAAACATGTATCAGTGGTTCTGTTCCATTCAGAGAAGTCCGTACGAGTCTTGTGTTCACATGAAGTCGCACACGTTTCATACTTGTCTCTTGTGTTGTCAGAAACTGTTCCTCTTGATCCGAGGCTCGTGTTTAAAGTGTCACCTTCTGACGTGTCCTCGAGCGGCCATTCACCTCCTCATCAAACAGCTGCAGCTGCTGGACCACGGCTTATGGCAGGAGATCCACCAAATCCAACAAGTCCTCAGAACGGTCATTCTCTCTCTCTCTCTCACTCTCTCTGTCTCTCTCTCTAACCCAGAGTATTGTCTCTGTCTCTAACCCAGAGTATTGTCTCTGTCTCTAACCCAGAGTATTGTCTCTCTCTCTAACCCAGAGTATTGTCTCTCTCTCTAACCCAGAGTATTGTCTCTCTCTCTAACCCAGAGTATTGTCTCTCTCTCTAACCCAGAGTATTGTCTCTCTCTCTAACCCAGAGTATTGTCTTTCTCACTCTGTCTCTGTCTCTGTCTCTCTCTCTCTGTCTCTGTCTCTGTCTCTCTCTCTAACCCAGAGTATTGTCTCTCTCTCTAACCCAGAGTATTGTCTCTCTCTCTAACCCAGAGTATTGTCTCTCCTTCTTGATAATATTTATTCTAATGCAAATAACACAGTAAATAGTGATAAACTTAACTTAGCAATTTCCTAGTTTGGGACTTCCTGTTACTCACATGGCAATAAAAGGATTCTGATCCTCCATCCATCCATTTTCTTCCCCTTAATCCATTTCTGGGTCGGGGAGTGGCACCAGCCCCTCCCTGATCCTCCTGCAGCTGCCAACACCACAGGAGGTCTTTATCTTTCATTGGGAGCTTCAGGCAAAGTGTGGTTAAGTGTCTTGCCCAAGGACGCAACGACAGCAGTCATCAGTGGGAGTCGGTGGAAAAGGTCTTGTGGGGGGATCAAACCCACAACCTTCAGGCTCAAAGGCCAATGCTCTACACACTGAGCCACTGTCGCCCCTTTGTCTCAACAACCACATTCTGTTATAACCGGAGAGAAATCACACTCACACTGTAAAGACCCAGAAACAGGGCATAATAAATAAATGCATAAGAAGCTAAAAAACAACCTCTAAAAATGTGTTGATTTGTAATGTTTTTGTTCTGCAGTTTGTGGAAGGTAATCCCAAAGCCTCTGGAGACGACATCGAGAAAGCTTTAACAGAGTTCACGGATCAGCTCCTGAGCGGGCAGCCGGACCGGGCCGTCAGACCGGTCCGTTTATTCTATTTAAAGTTATTCTCTTTTGTGTGTTGAAGATTTAAAATGTGACGTTGCAGTTTCCCAAAATGTTCTGACTTTTTCTGACTTTTGTTTTAGATCAAACACGTTGTTCACACAAAAAACAGACTCATCAACGACTTCTGGAAAAACCACATTAAATCCAGACAGTGTCAAGAATGCAAGTGAGTTACTACTGATGAAACTACTGATGATACTACTGATGATACTGCTGTTGTTGCTGCTGTTACTGTTTGTTACTACTGCTGTTACTACTGCTGTTACTGCTGCTGTTACTGCTGCTGTTACTGCTGCTGTTACTACTGCTGTTACTGCTGCTGTTACTGCTGACGTTACTACTGCTGCTGTTACTGCTGCTGTTACTGCTGCTGTTACTACTGCTGTTACTGCTGCTGTTACTACTGCTGTTACTGCTGCTGTTACTGCTGCTGTTACTGCTGCTGTTACTACTGCTGTTACTGCTGCTGTTACTGCTGACGTTACTACTGCTGCTGTTACTGCTGCTGTTACTGCTGCTGTTACTGCTGCTGTTACTGCTGCTGTTACTGCTGCTGTTACTGCTGCTGTTACTACTGCTGTTACTGCTGCTGTTACTGCTGACGTTACTACTGCTGTTACTACTGATGATACTACTGTTGATACTACTGCTGCTGTTACTGCTGCTGTTACTACTGCTGATACTACTGATGTTACTGCTGTTGTTACTGCTGTTGTTACTGCTGATGATACTACTGCTGATGATACTACTGCTGATGATACTACTGCTGTTGTTACTGCTGCTGTTACTGCTGCTGTTACTGCTGCTGTTACTGCTGCTGTTACTGCTGCTGTTACTGCTGCTGTTACTGCTGCTGTTACTGCTGCTGTTACTGCTGCTGTTACTGCTGCTGTTACTGCTGCTGTTACTGCTGATGTTACTGCTGACGTTACTGCTGACGTTACTGCTGCCGTTACTGCTGCCGTTACTGCTGCTGTTACTGCTGCTGTTACTGCTGCTGTTACTGCTGCTGTTACTGCTGCTGTTACTGCTGCTGTTACTGCTGACACTACTGCTGTTGATACTACTGCTGTTACTACTGCTGATGTTACTGCTGATGATACTGCTGCTGTTACTACTGATGATACTACTGCTGTTACTGATGTTACTACTCTAGTTACTACTGCTGCTGCTGTTACAACTGTTGTTACGACTGTTACTACTACTGTTGTTACTACTGTTACTACTACTTCCAAATAGTTGCAGGTGCCTTAATTACATCTACAGTTCCTTGCAAAAGTATTCGCCCCCCTTGAACCTTTCGCCACATTTCAGGCTTCAAACATAAAGATATGAAATTTCAATTTTTGTCATGAATCAACAAGTGGGACACAATCGTGGGGTGGAATGAAATTTGTTGGATAATTTCAACTTTTTAACAAATAAAAAACTGAAAAGTGGGGCGTGCAATATAATTCGGCCCCTTTACTTTCAGTGCAGCAAACTCAGTCCAGAAGTTCAGTGAGGATCTTTGAATGATCCAATGTTGTCCTAAATGACTGATGATGATAAATAGAATGCACCTGTGTGTAATCAAGTCTCCGTATAAATGCACCTGCTCTTTGATAGTCTCAGGGTTCTGTTTAAAGCACAGAGAGAACCATGAAGACAAAGGAACACACCAGGCAGGTCCGAGATACTGTTGTGGAGAAGTTTAAAGCCGGATTTGGATACAAAAAGATTTCCCAAGCTTTAAACATCTCAAGGAGCGCTGTGCAAGCAATTATATTGAAATGGAAGGAGTATCAGACCACTGCAAATCTACCAAGACCCGGCCGTCCTTCCAAACTTTCATCTCAAACAAGGAGAAGACTGATCAGAGATGCAGCCAAGAGGCCCATGATCACTCTGGATGAACTGCAGATAACTACAGCTGAGTTAGGGATGGTGTGTTCAGGGTGATGAGCTGTGTTGCTTTTACGCCAAACATATTGTTTTGCATTGTGGCCAAAAAGTTCGATTTTGGTTTCATCTGACCAGAGCACCTTCTTCCACATGTTTGGTGTGTCTCCCAGGTGGCTTGTGGCAAACTTTAAATGAGACTTTTTATGGATATCTTTGAGAAATGGCTTTCTTCTTGCCACTCTTCCATAAAGGCCAGATTTGTGCAGTGCATGACTGATTGTTGTCCTATGGACAGACTCTCCCACCTCAGCTGTAGTTATGTGCACGCCCCACTTTTCAGTTTTTTTCCAATAAATTTCGTTCCACTTCACGATTGTGTCCCACTTGTTGTTGATTCATGACAAAAAATTAAAATTTTAAATATTTATGTTTGAAGACTGAAATGTGGCAAAATGTTGAAAGGTTCAAGGGGGCCGAATACTTTCGCAAGGTACTGAACCTAAATGTAATCATAATGTAGCTTAAGTGGTTGTTTTTGCCGTGAGCCTGAGTCCTTCCATGTTGTTTCAGGAGTGGGAAGTTTACAATCCGTCGTGAACACAACAGTAAACTCATCATCAACCTCCCGGCGGGACAGTCCCTAGACAAGAGCACTGGTAACTTACAGATTCATATGACATGTGCAGTAAAACCACAGCGGAATACATTTGCAAAAGTCTCCAGTGTGAACAAGACAAGGACATGGATAATTGTCAAACTGCAAAAACAGCCTCTCTCTGGTCTCGCTCTGGTCTCGCTCTGGTCTCGCTCTGGTCTCTCTCTTGTCTCTCTCTGCTCTCTCTTGTCTCTCTCTGGTTTCTCTCTGGTCTCTCTCTCTCTCTCTGGTCTCTCTCTGGTCCCTCTGGGCTCTCTCTTTGGTCTCTCTGGTCTCTCTGGTCTCTCTGCTCTCTCTCTCTCTGCTCTCTCTCTGGTCTCTCTGGTCTCTCTGCTCTCTCTCTGCTCTCTCTCTCTCTGCTCTCTCTCTGGTCTCTCTCTGGTCTCTCTCTCTGCTCTCTCTCTGGTCTCTCTCTCTGGTCTCTCTCTCTGGTCTCTCTCTGGTCTCTCTCTCTGCTCTCTCTCTGGTCCCTCTCTCTGGTCTCTCTCTGGTCTCTCTGCTCTCTCTCTCTCTGGTCTCTCTGCTCTCTCTCTCTCTGGTCTCTCTGCTCTCTCTCTCTCTGGTCTCTCTCTGGTCTCTCTGCTCTCTCTCTCTCTGGTCTCTCTCTTCTCTCTCTCTGGTCTCTCTGCTCTCTCTCTCTCTGGTCTCTCTCTGGTCTCTCTCTGGTTTCTCTCTGGTCTCTCTCTCTGCTCTCTGGTCCCTCTCTCTGGTCTCTCTCTGGCTTCTCTCTCTGGCTTCTCTCTCTCTCTCTCTCTGGTCTCTCTCTGGTCTCCTTTGTGATGTTACCAAACCTTAGTCACAGAACCAATAAAAAACCTTTAATGGTGCAGTGATCAAAGTGAAGCAGAATCTTAGAGTTAGTGGTGAAAACATAAACAATCTGTCTCTGTCTCCACATGTGCAGCTTTGATTGTGTTTTTTCTCAGAGGACATTCTTGGCGGACGGAGATCCTTCCTGACGGCGAGTATGGCCCGCGAACACATCTCTCTGCTATGGGAGAAAGAAGGTAGAGCAGCCATGTTCTTTACTGGGGTTTTGTCAGAGGCCGATAATAAGTATTTTTATAAACAGATTCCTCACCTCGTCCAACTACATTTGTGTGAAAAAACAGTCCATATGTGACTGGATTGAATCATTTCTGCTCTGGTTTTATATGTAGCTACGTAACCTAAATACTGCTGGGACAAAGCGAGCAGATGCATTTAAGAGCGCAGGGAAAATCCATGTTTAGGGTTCAGCAAGAAGGCTCTGGGTTCGACTCCACCTCCAGGCCTTTCTGTGTGGAGTGTGCATGTGTAGGTTTCCTCCAGGTGCTCGGGTTTAGCACTAAAAACATGTACATTATGTCTGGCATGCGCCTCCTGTTCGGGTAGTTGTAGCAGTAGTTGTAGCAGTAGCAGTAGTAGTAGTAGTTGTAGTAGCAGTAGTAGTTGTAGTAGCAGTAGTTGTAGTAATAGCAGTAGTAGTTGTAGTAGCAGTAGTAGTTGTAGTAGCAGTAGCAATAGTAGTAGTAGTAGTAGTAGTAATAGCAGCAGTATTTGTAGTAGTAGCAGTAGTAGTAATAGCAGTAGTAGTTGTAGTAGTTGTAGTAGCAGTACAGTAGCAGTAGTAATAGTAGTAGTAATAGCAGTAGTAGTTGTAGTAGCAGTAGTAGTAATAGCAGTAGTAGTTGTAGTAGCAGTAGTAGTAATAGCAGTAGTAGTTGTAGTAGTAGCAGTAGTAGTTGTAGTAGCAGTAGTAGTAATAGCAGTAGTAGTTGTAGTAGTAGTAGTAGCAGTAGTAGTAATAGCAGTAGTAGTTGTAATAGTAGCAGTAGTAGTAGTAGTAGTTGTAGTAATAGCAGTAGTAGTTGTAATAGTATTAGCAGCAGTAGTAGTTGTAGCAGTAGTAGTAGTAGTAGTTGTAGTAGCAGCAGTAGCAGTAGTAGTTGTAGTAGCAGTAGTAGCAGTAGTAGTTGTAGTTGTAGCAGTAGCAGTAGTAGTAGTTGTAGTAGTAGTTGTAGTAGCAGTAGTAGTAGCAGTAGCAGTAGCAGTAGCGGTACAATCTAACCCAAATGCTGGAACAAAGCTAGCAGATGCATTTAAGAGCGCAGGGAAAATCTATGTTTATGGCAGTAATCCAATTCATTAAAGTGTAGATAACAATTTTGTCCAATTTTTAACTATCAATCTGACTTATACGAGTAGTGTTGTGTTTTCTCATTGCCTTTTTTACGTCTTAACTGTCGCTTTAAAATCCAATTATTTTTCTTTAGGTTTTTTCTTGAAGCACTTGTTTTCTGGAACCGACAGCTCCAGCGACATCTCCCCGGACGTGTTCTTCTTGGATCTGCTCCTGGTCCCTCCCTGCAGGTCTGCATTTTATCACATTTTATTAAATTAATGTGTTCTGTGATTTTTAGCAGTAGCAGTAGTTTTCGTCGGTCATTATTAGGGTGTTAAATGTTATACTTAAATATCTATAAAGTTCAGCAATTTACACACGTATATTGTAAAATATTATATGATCATCTTAATTTATCCATTTATTGTTTTCCAGCCAAAAACATGTTGATTTTTTTTCATAATTTTGATAATCATGATTAATCGTAAAATTGCAATATTTTCTCTCACAATTATCGGGACTCAAAAATGTGAAACCGTGGCGACCCTCGTCATTATGGATATTAGGTCACATGATTTCGAAGATCTTTTACATTCCATACTAAGAAAAAAAACATGTATATTAATAATTTTAGTGCTAAATGATGTAACGTGTTTTCTTTCCCGCTGTGTGTAGATTCCGTCCAATCAATCGCCTCGGAGACCAGATGTTTACGAACGGGCAGACGGTGAACATGCAAGCGGTGATGAAGGAGTGCGAGACAGTCAGGAAGCTGCTGGCCATTATCGCAGGGAAGAAGATCCAGGAGCAAGTGGTACGACCCAAACCACACACTGTACAGGAGCAAGTGGTACGACCCAAACTACACACTACAGGAGCAAGTGGTACGACCCAAACTACACACTGTACAGGAGCAAGTGGTACGACCCAAACTACACACTACAGGAGCAAGTGGTACGACCCAAACTACACACTACAGGAGCAAGTGGTACGACCCAAACTACACACTGTACAGGAGCAAGTGGTACGACCCAAACTACACACTGTACAGGAGCAAGTGGTACGACCCAAACTACACACTACAGGAGCAAGTGGTACGACCCAAACTACACACTGTACAGGAGCAAGTGGTACGACCCAAACTACACACTGTACAGGAGCAAGTGGTACGACCCAAACCACACACTGTACAGGAGCAAGTGGTACGACCCAAACTACACACTACAGGAGCAAGTGGTACGACCCAAACTACACACTGTACAGGAGCAAGTGGTACGACCCAAACCACACACTGTACAGGAGCAAGTGGTACGACCCAAAATACACACTACAGGAGCAAGTGGTACGACCCAAACTACACACTGTACAGGAGCAAGTGGTACGACCCAAACTACACACTGTACAGGAGCAAGTGGTACGACCCAAACTACACACTGTACAGGAGCAAGTGGTACGACCCAAACCACACACTGTACTGGAGTAAGTGGTACGACCCAAACTACACACTGTACAGGAGCAAGTGGTACGACCCAAACTACACACTACAGGAGCAAGTGGTACGACCCAAACTACACACTGTACAGGAGCAAGTGGTACGACCCAAACTACACACTGTACAGGAGCAAGTGGTACGACCCAAACCCACACTATACAGGAGCAAGTGGTACGACCCAAACCACACACTGTACTGGAGCAAGTGGTACGACCCAAACCACACACTGTACAGGAGCAAGTGGTACGACCCAAACTACACACTACAGGAGCAAGTGGTACGACCCAAACTACACACTGTACAGGAGCAAGTGGTACGACCCAAACTACACACTACAGGAGCAAGTGGTACGACCCAAACTACACACTGTACAGGAGCAAGTGGTACGACCCAAACTACACACTGTACAGGAGCAAGTGGTACGACCCAAACCACACACTGTACTGGAGCAAGTGGTACGACCCAAACTATACACTGTACAGGAGCAAGTGGTACGACCCAAACTACACACTATACAGGAGCAAGTGGTACGACCCAAACCACACACTGTACTGGAGCAAGTGGTACGACCCAAACCACACACTGTACAGGAGCAAGTGGTACGACCCAAACTACACACTACAGGAGCAAGTGGTACGACCCAAACTACACACTGTACAGGAGCAAGTGGTACGACCCAAACCACACACTGTACAGGAGCAAGTGGTACGACCCAAACTACACACTATACAGGAGCAAGTGGTACGACCCAAACCACACACTGTACTGGAGCAAGTGGTACGACCCAAACCACACACTGTACAGGAGCAAGTGGTACGACCCAAACCACACACTACAGGAGCAAGTGGTACGACCCAAACTACACACTGTACAGGAGCAAGTGGTACGACCCAAACCACACACTGTACAGGAGCAAGTGGTACGACCCAAAATACACACTACAGGAGCAAGTGGTACGACCCAAACTACACACTGTACAGGAGCAAGTGGTACGACCCAAACCACACACTGTACTGGAGCAAGTGGTACGACCCAAACCACACACTGTACTGGAGTAAGTGGTACGACCCAAACTACACACTGTACAGGAGCAAGTGGTACGACCCAAACTACACACTACAGGAGCAAGTGGTACGACCCAAACTACACACTGTACAGGAGCAAGTGGTACGACCCAAACCACACACTGTACTGGAGCAAGTGGTACGACCCAAACTACACACTGTACAGGAGCAAGTGGTACGACCCAAACCACACACTGTACAGGAGCAAGTGGTACGACCCAAAATACACACTACAGGAGCAAGTGGTACGACCCAAACTACACACTGTACTGGAGTAAGTGGTACGACCCAAACTACACACTGTACAGGAGCAAGTGGTACGACCCAAACTACACACTACAGGAGCAAGTGGTACGACCCAAACCACACACTGTACTGGAGCAAGTGGTACGACCCAAACCACACACTGTACAGGAGCAAGTGGTACGACCCAAACTACACACTGTACAGGAGCAAGTGGTACGACCCAAACCACACACTGTACTGGAGTAAGTGGTACGACCCAAACTACACACTGTACAGGAGCAAGTGGTACGACCCAAACCACACACTGTACTGGAGTAAGTGGTACGACCCAAACTACACACTGTACAGGAGCAAGTGGTACGACCCAAACTACACACTACAGGAGCAAGTGGTACGACCCAAACCACACACTGTACTGGAGCAAGTGGTACGACCCAAACCACACACTGTACAGGAGCAAGTGGTACGACCCAAACTTACACACTGTACAGGAGCAAGTGGTACGACCCAAACTACACACTGTACAGGAGCAAGTGGTACGACCCAAACCACACACTGTACTGGAGTAAGTGGTACGACCCAAACTACACACTGTACAGGAGCAAGTGGTACGACCCAAACTACACACTACAGGAGCAAGTGGTACGACCCAAACTACACACTGTACAGGAGCAAGTGGTACGACCCAAACCACACACTGTACTGGAGCAAGTGGTACGACCCAAACCACACACTGTACTGGAGCAAGTGGTACGACCCAAACCACACACTGTACAGGAGCAAGTGGTACGACCCAAACTACACACTGTACAGGAGCAAGTGGTACGACCCAAACCACACACTGTACTGGAGCAAGTGGTACGACCCAAACTATACACTGTACAGGAGCAAGTGGTACGACCCAAACCACACACTGTACTGGAGCAAGTGGTACGACCCAAACCACACACTGTACAGGAGCAAGTGGTACGACCCAAACTACACACTGTACAGGAGCAAGTGGTACGACCCAAACCACACACTGTACTGGAGCAAGTGGTACGACCCAAACTATACACTGTACAGGAGCAAGTGGTACGACCCAAACTACACACTATACAGGAGCAAGTGGTACGACCCAAACCACACACTGTACTGGAGCAAGTGGTACGACCCAAACTACACACTGTACAGGAGCAAGTGGTACGACCCAAACCACACACTGTACTGGAGCAAGTGGTACGACCCAAACCACACACTGTACTGGAGCAAGTGGTACGACCCAAACCACACACTGTACAGGAGCAAGTGGTACGACCCAAACCACACACTGTACAGGAGCAAGTGGTACGACCCAAACTACACACTGTACAGGAGCAAGTGGTACGACCCAAACCACACACTGTACAGGAACAAGTGGTACGACCCAAACCACACACTGTACTGGAGCAAGTGGTACGACCCAAACCACACACTGTACAGGAGCAAGTGGTACGACCCAAACTACACACTGTACAGGAGCAAGTGGTACGACCCAAACTACACATGGTCTCCGTCTGCTGCTCTAACCCTCCACATGGTCTCCACATGGTCTCTGTCTGCTGCTCTGACCCTCCACATGGTCTCCGTCTGCTGCTCTAACCCTCCACATGGTCTCCACATGGTCTCTGTCTGCTGCTCTGACCCTCCACATGGTCTCCGTCTGCTGCTCTAACCCTCCACATGGTCTCTACATGGTCTCCGTCTGCTGCTCTGACCCTCCACATGGTCTCCGTCTGCTGCTCTAACCCTCCACATGGTCTCTACATGGTCTCCGTCTGCTGCTCTGACCCTCCACATGGTCTCAGTCTGCTGCTCTAACCCTCCACATGGTCTCCACATGGTCTCTGTCTGCTGCTCTGATCCTCCACATGGTCCTTTTTTTAAAACTGTTTTGTGTTTTCAGCAGCAGGATCAGGAGGCGCAGCAGGAGGCGCAGCAGGAGGCGCAGCAGGAGGCGCAGCAGGAGGCGCAGCAGGCGGACGCAGCAGACCAGTCCTTCCTCGTTTCTCTTCCCGGTCAAACTCTGTCCGACAAACTCTACAACACCTGGATCCGGCTGCAGACTCTGGTCAACATCGTGTTCGACAGCGACATGGACAAGATGATGGCGGAGAAGTACCCAGGGATCAAGCAGGTACCGGGACCGAACCTGCACCAAGGAAGACGGAGACATTCCACTGAAAAAGCTACATTTTCCACCAGTTTATTCTTATTATTATTTTACATGAACTCACTTTTACTAAGAGCTTTGACGGGTGAATATAACTTGAAATACAGTAAAAATTCAGTTTGTGGAAATGTCTCTCCCACCACACATTAGGAACTACAGAACTTCACATCCCTTCACAAAACCCACCTGCTCATCTGTTTATTTTTAGCCTTTTATTTTTGTTTCTTCTGTATAGCGTCTTTGAGTGTCCAAAAAAAGTTAAATAAGTGATTTATTATTAGATGTATTATTATTATTATAAAATGCTTCTGAATGCTATCTGCAGGTAAGTCAACTTTGTGTTGCTATTGTAACTATGGTAACTAACTGCTCACGTGTCAAAAATAAAAGATAATTTAAAGGAGCTATACCCATTTCTGCAAGGTTTGAATGTTTAGCCCCGCCCCCAACTCGCTCAATGGCTTCTCATTTCCCCTATGCTCTCATAACACAGAGCCATCTAGCTCAGTTTGCGATCTGACATGTATGCTAACATTAGCATTAGCACAACTTCTCGAAATCTGTACAACAATCACTGATGATTGGTACTAAAGCAACGCTTTAGCAACGCACTGCTAAGACAATATATAGGTAAAAGAATACTGATAGTTTCGCATCCAAATTTATTTATTAAAACGTTATAATTAAATATTCTAATATATTCTAATTTAATATACAGCTCCTCACAGCAGTAGAACACTCCATTGACTTGAATGTAATTCTAACAATCATTTTTTCTTGATAACAGAACTCTCAAATCAATAATGACCGCTGCCCTTTGGCAACGCAATCTCTGTAATTCAGGTGTGTAAAATACTAACATTACTCCGCAAGTATGAGAGAAGCGGAGCTAGCCGAGTTAGCCACGCTCAATAAACAACTACATATCTATCAATCAACACCGTTAAATTTGAATCGGACAATACAGTATACATATACATCCTTAACACACATGCACGGACTTTTTCAGAATTTCTTGTTATCGTTTTCATGACCAAATTACTATTTTAATGTGACAAAAAGCGATCGCGAAAAACCCAGAAGTTACCATGAAACAGCTAGCTAGCTTAGCTGTTACCTGCCTAGCACGTCACCAGGACGTGCTAGGCAGGTAACAGCTAGGCTTTGGGAGCTTTGGGAGCTAACTATTTTATTTGTAGTCATTAAATACATTCAGAATTTTAAGGGCTGTCTAATATTTGTTCAAATATGTATATATTTTTTATTTTAGAATTATATTAAAATTTTGAAGTCGAAGCCCTGGTGTTAATCAGTGCTGTAGAGACTAGAGGACGCAGGCTGTAGAGACTAGAGGACACAGGCTGTAGAGACTAGAGGACACAGGCTGTAGAGACTAGAGGACGCAGGCTGTAGAGACTAGAGGACACAGGCTGTAGAGACTAGAGGACGCAGGCTGTAGAGACTAGAGGACGCAGGCTGTAGAGACTAGAGGACGCAGGCTGTAGAGACTAGAGGACACAGGCTGTAGAGACTAGAGGACACAGGCTGTAGAGACTAGAGGACACAGGCTGTAGAGACTAGAGGACACAGGCTGTAGAGACTAGAGGACACAGGCTGTAGAGACTAGAGGACACAGGCTGTAGAGACTAGAGGACACAGGCTGTAGAGACTAGAGGACACAGGCTGTAGAGACTAGAGGACGCAGGCTGTAGAGACTAGAGGACACAGACTGTAGAGACTAGAGGACACAGGCTGTAGAGACTAGAGGACGCAGGCTGTAGAGACTAGAGGACACAGGCTGTAGAGGTAGAGGACACAGGCTGTAGAGGCTAGAGGACACAGGCTGTAGAGACTAGAGGACACAGGCTGTAGAGACTAGAGGACACAGGCTGTAGAGACTAGAGGACACAGGCTGTAGAGGCTAGAGGACACAGGCTGTAGAGACTAGAGGACACAGGCTGTAGAGACTAGAGGACACAGGCTGTAGAGACTAGAGGACACAGGCTGTAGAGACTAGAGGACGCAGGCTGTAGAGACTAGAGGACGCAGGCTGTAGAGACTAGAGGACGCAGGCTGTAGAGACTAGAGGACACAGGCTGTAGAGACTAGAGGACGCAGGCTGTAGAGACTAGAGGACACAGGCTGTAGACTAGAGGACACAGGCTGTAGAGACTAGAGGACACAGGCTGTAGAGGCTAGAGGACACAGGCTGTTCGCTGCTTGTTCTGTGATTGGAGGAGAACGTCCCGCTCAGACTCTACTCAGCACTTTTCACTGCTGTAATTCTTACACAGCTGAATCAATTTTCTCAAGTTTTCAATTAAATTACGGATTATAATTATAGTACAACTTGTATGTAGTAATAAGCATTTTTATCAACTACTTAGAAAAAAAATTGGGTATAGCTTCTTTAATGAAAATAAAGGCGTGGAAATAAACTACATACAGAAACAGAAAAAGTCACAAAGTTATGAAGACCAAACATGTCCATTACACTTCCCAAACTCCACGCCGTCAAATGGACTGCTCCGTGATCGAGTGTTGCTCATGTGTGAAATGATTGACAGTAATAATGTGTTTTTGCTCAGATTCTGGAGAAAAAGGACGGTCTGTTCAGGAAGCACATGATGGGGAAGAGAGTGGACTTCGCCGCTCGGTCCGTCATCTGCCCGGACATGTACATCGGCACGCACGAGATCGGGATCCCCATGGTAAATGATCACGGTGGAAATTAGGAGAGTGTTGATTCTAATGTTTTTGTGTGTGTTTAATGAAAGGGCGTTTGCATGTCGGCTTTCTCTCAGATGTTTAAACGTTGTTGTCAAAAAAGATTTGACTGACGTGTTCAGAATTTGATACAGAAATAAGGCCAAGATTTGCAAGAGTTAAAATAGAACATTTATTTCTCTTTACAATTAAATGTTGATACAGAACTCTTGGAGCTATTATTTTTTTTATTTATTTATTTGATCGGGACAACACACATTAATGAACAATCATATACAGTTGTACACAGATTGTAAATGTGCCAGATTATAGCAAAACTGCTAATTTACATCTGTAGTCCCGAGGCAGGTCACACAAGTAAAACAATGTATGAACAAAACATACATACAAAACACAATATAAAAACTTTATAAATCACATTTTAGTTAAAATGAGTGCATGACTGATTTACTTTGATGTGATGTTTAAGTTGTTTCTTAAAGGAGCTGTATGTCGGGCATTCTCTTATGTCTGTAGGAAGGCTGTTCCAAGACTGGCCTCCTCTGACGGACAGCACAGTTTGTCCAAATGTTGTTTTTCTGTGTGGGATTTCCACATCTCCTCTGGAGGAGGCTCTGGTGCGGAGACCCCTCATTGCTTTAAGTTTAATGTAGTTATAGTGGGGGCGGGGCAAGACCATGAAGTGCTTTGTAAACAAGGCAACAGTTTTTAAAATTTATGAAATTTTGAAAATTTAGCATTTCATATTTTTCCAGGATATTGCAGTGATGATATGACCAAGGCTTTTGATCCAGAATTTTTATGGACTTTTTGAAGAGGATTTCTATGGGTTTGATATTTGTTTCTCCAGTAAGTGACCAGGTTGTAATGCAGTACTCTATGTGTGAAAATATCATTGAGTGTAGAAACATCTTTGCTGAATCTGTTGTCATAAAGGGCCTGATTTGTTTGAAGTTCTGTAAATTTAACTTTATTGTATTCGCAGTGAGCTTAATGTGTTTTTTAAAGGAGAGTGTTGAATCCAGTGTGACCCCGAGATATTTGAACTCCTCAACAAAGTCAAGCTCAGTGTCTCCAAGGAACACATTGGACCGATCAAGTTTCCCTAAATATCCCTGTGCTCAGACTCTCCACAAAGTTGTCCTCCCAACACTTTTATCAGAATGTCCGATGACGTCATTTGGTCTGAGGCTGGTCTGTGTGCCTGGACTGGCCTAGTCCAGTTTTGTGTCTCAGGTGTTGTCCCGATGAGAGAGACACGCTGTTCCTGAAGATGATACTTTTATCACAGAAGCCTTGTCCATTGTGCTTCTTTGAATTCCACTAAATCCAAAACTTAATATTGCACAAAGACATGTTATACAAACACCTACTGAAAATCATTAGTATACAACATTTTAATTCTACAACAACGTGCACTCAATTATATGGATTTTCCCGTAGACCGGACCTGGGCCAGGTGCGTGCTGGGGGCCACATCTGGTCTGATTCAGATTTCCATATGGCCCCGGTGCCCTTCCCTGCCGATACTCAGTGAAGGATTATCACATAAAAATATAAAGGAGAATTTTACAAAATTTTAGGAGTGAGTGAGAGTTTTGTTCAAATAGTGGAGAGGGCGTCTCATTGGACGACCATGTGTCACCAGAATGATTGACAGTTGGGAGGACCAATAGTCTTGATGATCCTCCCGGAAGTAGAAAATCCTGTATACCTTTATTTTTCATTTCATTTAATAGTTTATTTGAATAGGGACGATACACATTAATCAACATTGCAGTATTAGCTAACAGCTAGTTTCCAACTGTAGTCCCTAGGCAAGGTGTAAAATGTACCAATTAATGTGGTACTCTGGCATATTATACATTTACTCTGTTCTAATTAATGAACCCAAAAGTAGATTAGCTCCTACTTTATGGTCATTACAAAGTCAGAACACTGCGTCTGACCAGGAGAGCAAAAACGTTTATAGTCATTTTTAGGGATGCATCGATCATGGTATTGGGTTGATACCATAGGCCTGTACTTACACTCATACATGTACCGTAAGACCCGATTCCGGCAACCGATACCCATCAATGTCACCCTGCACGTGTTGCCATGGTGATCCCTCAAAGTCTACAGCGAGAAAGTGCTTACCTTTCAGCAAGCGGATGTCGGCCGTTTTAGCAGTTAGTTTTATGAATTCCCAGTAATAACTCAATGCAGTACTCGGTATCGGTACTCGGTATCGGCAAGTACTCACATTTTGAAAAAAAGTGGTATTGCCGAATCTGTGCTCCGAACAAATCGTACAAATAATGGTACAATTACCAGCACTAACAAATATCCATAAGCCGCTCCATCACAGACCAAATGCACAAACACAAACCTTCAAAGTTGTGTCTGTGCTGCAGGTCTTTGCCACGAAGCTGACGTACCCTCAGCCTGTGACTCCGTGGAACGTGAAAGAGCTGCGGCAGGCGGTTCTGAACGGCCCCAACGTCCACCCGGGCGCCGCCATGGTCATCACCGAAGACGGCAGGAAAACTATACTGTCTCCGTCCAACTTCAGCCAGAGAGAAGCCGTGGCCAAACAGCTGCTGACGCCGTGCCCCGGGCCACACACCATGCCCATGAAGATCGTGAGTCAGAAATATCATTGACTGCCATTGACGTATTTTCAATGTCAAGATCAATATCGTCCTGGGATTTTATAGAGAACGTTGTTGCTTTTCTGCAGGTGAATCGTCACATAAAGAACGGAGACGTGTTGCTATTGAACCGACAACCCACTCTCCACAGACCCTCCATACAGGCCCACAGCGCTCGCATCCTGCCAGGAGAGAAGGTCAGTGCACATCAGGGAGACCAGCGGGAGAGACCAGCGGGAGAGGCCTGAGGGAGAGGCCTGAGGGAGAGAGGCCAGAGAGAGAGAGGCCAGAGGGAGAGAGACCAGAGGGGGAGAGACCAGAGGGGGAGAGACCAGAGGGAGAGAGACCAGAGGGAGAGAGGCCAGAGGGAGAGAGGCCAGAGGGAGAGAGGCCAGAGGGAGAGAGGCCAGAGAGAGAGAGGCCAGAGGGAGAGAGACCAGAGGGGGAGAGACCAGAGGGGGAGAGACCAGAGGGAGAGAGACCAGAGGGAGAGAGGCCAGAGGGAGAGAGGCCAGAGGGAGAGAGGCCAGAGGGAGAGAGGCCAGAGGGAGAGAGGCCAGAGGGAGAGAGGCCAGAGGGAGAGAGGCCAGAGGGAGAGAGGCCAGAGGGAGAGAGGCCAGAGGGAGAGAGGCCAGAGGGAGAGAGGCCAGAGGGAGAGAGGCCAGAGGGAGAGAGGCCAGAGGGAGAGAGGCCAGAGGGAGAGAGGCCAGAGGGAGAGAGGCCAGAGGGAGAGAGGCCAGAGGGAGAGAGGCCAGAGGGAGAGAGGCCAGAGGGAGAGAGGCCAGAGGGAGAGAGGCCAGAGGGAGAGAGGCCAGAGGGAGAGAGGCCAGAGGGAGAGAGGCCAGAGGGAGAGAGGCCAGAGGGAGAGAGGCCAGAGGGAGAGAGGCCAGAGGGAGAGAGAAACCGACAAGAGGCACACTGGGATATGGTCTGGAGCAGATAATTAACATCTCCAGGTTTAAACAACAAGCACAGAATGTGATACTTTGAAAATAATGGGAAATATAATAAAATCTGAGGGGCGATGGTTCTCTCTCTGCTCTCTGGTCTCTCTCTGGTCTCTCTCTGGTCTCTCTCTGGTCTCTCTCTGGCCTCCTTCAGGCCTCTCTCTTGTCTCGGTTCTCTCTCTGGTCTCTCTCTGGTCTCTCTCTGGTCTCTCTCTGGTCTCTCTCTGGTCTCTCTCTGGCCTCTCTCTGGCCTCTCTCTGGTCTCTCTCTGGTCTCTCTCTGGTCTCTCTCTGGCCTCTCTCTGGTCTCTCTCTGGTCTCTCTCTGGTCTCTCTCTGGTCTCTCTCTGGTCTCTCTCTGGCCTCTCTCTGGCCTCTCTCTGGTCTCTCTCTGGTCTCTCTCTGGTCTCTCTCTGCTCTCTCTCTGGCCTCTCTCTGGTCTCTCTCTGGCCTCTCTGGCCTCTCTCTGGCCTCTCTCTGGCCTCTCTCTGGTCTCTCTCTGGTCTCTCTCTGGTCTCTCTCTGGTCTCTCTCTGGTCTCTCTCTGGCCTCTCTCTGGTCTCTCTCTGGTCTCTCTCTGGTCTCTCTCTGGTCTCTCTCTGGTCTCTCTCTGGCCTCTCTCTGGCCTCTCTCTGGCCTCTCTCTGGTCTCTCTCTGGCCTCTCTCTGGCCTCTCTCTGGTCTCTCTCTGGTCTCTCTCTGGCCTCTCTGGCCTCTCTCTGGTCTCTCTCTGGTCTCTCTCTGGTCTCTCTCTGGTCTCTCTCTGGTCTCTCTCTGGTCTCTCTCTGGCCTCTCTCTGGCCTCTCTCTGGCCTCTCTCTGGCCTCTCTCTGGTCTCTCTCTGGCCTCTCTCTGGCCTCTCTCTGGTCTCTCTCTGGCCTCTCTCTGGTCTCTCTCTGGCCTCTCTGGCCTCTCTCTGGCCTCTCTCTGGCCTCTCTCTGGTCTCTCTCTGGTCTCTCTCTGGCCTCTCTCTGGTCTCTCTCTGCTCTCCCTGGGCTCTCTCTGGTCTCTCTCTGGTCTCTCTCTGGTCTCCTTCAGGCCTCTCTCTTGTCTCGGTTCTCTCTCTGGTCTCTCTCTGGTCTGGTCTTGCTGGTTAAATCTGTGGTTCTCTTCCCTCAGGTCTTGAGACTGCACTATGCCAACTGTAAAGCCTACAACGCAGACTTTGATGGAGACGAGATGAACGCTCACTTCCCTCAGAGCGAACTGGGCCGAGCCGAGGCCTACACTCTGGTCGGCACCAACCAGCAGTACCTGGTCCCCAAGGTCAATCCATCAACTATCATTGTGTAGCGCCTTTCATCCACACGGCAACACAAAGGCATCAGTCATAATCATTCAAATCTACATAAATATAAAAAAGATACAATTAAAATCCTACAAGGCAATAAAAACACAAAACATATTAAAAAACATATAAAATAAAATCACACATGGGATGATAAATAGCCAGAGTGCATTTAAAAAGATAAAGATAAAATCCTTAAGTTGTAGCGCCGTGTTGTGGAAATTCTGCACATACCGAGAGTAAAATAATGTAAACAACCCAGAGCTGTAATTCCAAACAAAGTGTGAGTTTATTCATTAGTAAATGTGCACAATTACAATGAATAACAGAACCGATACCAATACCACCGGGCAGCCGTCCGAAATCGACTGCCCCGAATGAGGAAATAACTGTACATTAAATAGACCAGAGTAAACAAACACATATCTACTCTAGATATTACATAAATGAAGTCAACATTGATATGTGTTGCTCAAGGCTTCTCTTTACGCCTCCTAACGCTGATACAACTCTGATATATGTAACGATCTGCTTTTGAACTGAACATATTGTTCTATGACCCAGGTCAAAGACATGATGCAGCATGTCTCCATCTATCACTGACCTGCTGCCAACAGAGCCTTATGGCCTGTATCTGAATCCAGAGTTGACTATTAGTTAATAACTTACACTCATAACTATTTGGTGTTAATTCAGGTTGCTTCACTAAAATATTTCTATAACAGCCGCCAAACAGAACTGTTTTTTCCTGGTCTCTCTCTAGTCTCTCTGATATTTTTCTCCGGTCTCTTTCTGGTCTCTCTCTCTCTGGTCTCTTTTCTGGTCTCTCTCTAGTCTCTCTCTCTATTTCTCACTGATCTATCTCTGGTCTCTCTCTCTCTAGTCTCTCTCTGGTCTCTCTCTGGTCTCTCTCTGGTCTCTCTCTGGTCTCTCTCTAGTCTCTCTCTGGTCTCTCTCTCTGATCTATCTCTGGTCTCTCTCTCTGGTCTCTCTCTCTGGTCTCTCTCTCTGGTCTCTCTCTCTGGTCTCTCTCTCTGGTCTCTCTCTGGTCTCTCTCTCTGGTCTCTCTCTCTGGTCCCTCTCTCTGGTCTCTCTCTGGTCTCTCTCTCTGGTCTCTCTCTCTGGTCTCTCTCTCTGGTCTCTCTCTGGTCTCTCTCTGGTCTCTCTCTGGTCTCACTCTGTTCTCTCTCCTCTCTTCAGGACGGGAAGCCTCTGGCCGGTCTGATCCAGGACCACATGGTGTCCGGGACGCGGATGACCATCAGAGGCTGTTTCTTCAGCAGGGACCAGTACACGGAGCTGGTCTACAGAGGCCTCACCGACAAACGGGGGAGAGTGAAGCTTCTCCCTCCGGCCATCATCAAACCTCACCCTCTGTGGACGGGAAAGCAGGTCAGCAACACGCTAACAGCATTGGCCTTTGAGCCTGAAGGTCTTGGGTTCGAGTCCACCATGAGACTTTCCCCACCGACTCTTACTGATGTCTGCTGTCGGTGTGTCCTTGGGCAAGACACTTCACCCATGTTGCCAAGAATGAGTCTGGTGTGTGTGTGAATGGTCTGAGGGGCCGATGGCACAGACTGGTTGCCTCGCTTCTGTCAGTGTGCCCCAGGGCAGCTGTGGCTTCAGTAGTATTTTATCACCACTGTGTTTGGAGTGAGAGAATGATGATGTGAAGAAACTTTGAGAGCCTTTCAGACCGGATCATGCTGCGTCGGGTTTCAATGCAAAGTCTACGGTGGCGTGCGTTCGACCGTCACAACGCACGGACCTCTCGGCACGCACGAACGGACTGTTCTGTAGAGACGCACGGACATGGCGGAAAAGTCAAAGGGAGGAGCAGGAGCGAAAAATCAACGCCCACAGGAGATGGATTCTGCTCATCCTTTCCTTGGGACGTTCGTGCGACAACCAATCAGAGAGCAGCAAAGTGGTCACAGGGACATTAGCGGACTGAGCGAGCAGACTGAAAATACTCATAAACAGCCAAAACAGGACCCACACCAGACTTCCCCAGAACTCAAACCAGGGCTGACAATGGGGGACTCTGTGCTTGTGAAAATATGCGTTGTCATGCTCCCGTGACCTTATGCAACTGCTTCGAGTGTGTTCGCCGATGCGGAAATACCGTTTAATAATATGAATAAACCTCCGTGAACACATACTACTGTTGTATAAAGCCCGTGGAATGTCTGTGAGCAAAGACACGCTGCAAAGCTGCATATTGGAGAAGATCTGTACACAAGAAGCCACTAGCATAGCTCTGTTAGCATTAGAGCCGGCCGGCTACTTCTGGTACTTCCGGCTCGTGTCAGGACGTTCTGGTGTGAAGTCCTCTGCGTCTGAAAACTAGAGAATGCGCGTCTGGTGAGCGGGACCTCAGCGTTTCAGTGTTGGCGGTCTGAAAGCACCATAAAAAAGCCCTCTGTAAAACCAATTTATTATTATTATTATTATTATTACAGACATGAAGCGGCCACTACAGAGGCTAAAGTACAAGAACTGTAAATTCTGACGACATTTAAAGGAGCAGTGTGTAAACATGTGGTCAAAAGTGGTACTGCAGCCTCCCCCACTCTCCCTGACTCAGGTTGCCAGATATGCAGACGAATCCAGCTGGGACCATGACAGCTGAATAGACAAGAGTTTTGTCAACAACAAATCTATAACCAACACCTTTTTCACAAAGACCGAAATCCTGGTTTTATTCCTTGTTTTGTCGTTAATGTCGTTTTAGTTCTGCGCCACATGGTACTTTACCAGTGAGATTAGCTCCACGCGGTGAGTTCTGGTGCCCGGATCACAGACTTTCTGATTGGTGAAACGGTGGAGGGCGGGACATCGACATGAAAACAATAACAAGATTTAGAGGCTGGAAAAGTAATTTAGAAATTCAAATATCTCTGAACTACTGTTATCAGTTAAAGAAGTATTGGAAAAGAGACTTGAAAATCTTACGTACTGTTCCTTTAAAGAACAAGAACTGTTTTTCTGACAACATCTAATCACATTTATGGACATTTCATCCTCACATTTCCTTGGTCGGATTCTCTGGTCTGTGATTGCAGGTGGTGTCTACGCTGCTGCTGAATGTTATTCCAAAGACGGCTGTTCCTCTGAACCTGGTCGGAAAATCCAAGATCCCGAGCAAAGCCTGGATCCAGAACCCTCCACGGTCCTGCCCCGGGTACCGACCAGACACCATGTGCGACTCACAGGTACAGAGGGGACTATCAACACTAGTGTAGTTGTTAGTAGGCAACTCTGTGGGGGTTTTCTCATCTCTCTCTGCTCTTCCCTCTCTCTCTGGTCTCACTCTGGTCTCTCTCTGCTCTTCCCTCTCTCTCTGGTCTCACTCTGGTCTCTCTCTGCTCTTCCCTCTCTCTCTGGTCTCACTCTGGTCTCTCTCTGCTCTTCCCTCTCTCTCTGGTCTCACTCTGGTCTCTCTCTGCTCTTCCCTCTCTCTCTGGTCTCACTCTGGTCTCTCTCTGCTCTTCCCTCTCTCTCTGGTCTCACTCTGGTCTCTCTCTGCTCTTCCCTCTCTCTCTGGTCTCACTCTGGTCTCACTCTGGTCTCACTCTGGTCTCACTCTGGTCTCACTCTGCTCTTCCCTCTCTCTCTGGTCTCACTCTGGTCTCACTCTGCTCTTCCCTCTCTCTGGTCTCTCTCACTGGTTTGTTTCTTTCTTTCTCTCTCTCTGGTCTGTCTGTCTGGTCTCTTTCTGGTCTATCTCTCGGGCTCTCTTGGTCTCTCTCACTGGTTTGTTTCTCTCTCTCTGGCCTCTCTTCTTTCTCTTTTTCTCTGGTCTCTCTCCCGCTCCCATCTCTGTGTAGAGTGAGAGACAAGTACCCAAAAATATCAATTGTAAACTGCTTTGTGACTCTGGTCTGTGAAAGTCTTACTTACTTACTTACTTTTACGGCTCTCTCTCTCTCGCTCTCTCTCTCTCTTTGCCCCCCCCCCCCCCCCCTCTCTCTCTTTCTCTTTCTTTTTTTCTGGTTTTAACCCTTCACCCTGAAGCTGGACCATAACAGACACATATCTTTAACCTCATGTGTGTTGTGTTTGTCTGTGTGTGTCCATGTGTGTCGTGTGTTTTTGTGTGTCCATGTGTGTTGTGTGTTTTTGTGTGTCCATGTGTGTTGTGTGTTTGTGTGTGTCTGTGTGTGTGTGTTGGGGGCAGGTGTTGATCCGTGAGGGGGAGCTGCTGGTGGGGGTCCTGGACAAGGCTCATTACGGGTCCTCAGCCTACGGCCTGGTCCACTGCTGTTACGAGCTCTACGGAGGAGAGACCAGCGGGACCCTGCTGAGCTGCCTGGCCCGGCTCTTCACGGCCTACCTGCAGCTGTACCGCGGCTTCACCCTGGGTACACAACTAGGACACACCAACACACCTTTACCCTTTACTTTTCTGTTGTGTTTTAATTTTATTTGTGTATTTATGAATGTGATTTTGTATAGTTTCGTGTATTTATGTAAAATGACAGGGACAGTGTACAATGAACGTTAAAGGACAACTCACCCTCAAATCCACTTTTTTTTGCTGATAAACGGTATAATAATAATAATAATAAGGCATCGGTTTTATATAGCGCTTTTTTGGACACTCAAAGACGCTTCACATGTGTCATTATTCATTCACTCCATACACAGTGGTGATAAACTACTAATGTAGCCACAGCTGCCCTGGGGCACACTGACAGAAGCGAGGCAACCAGTCTGTGCCATCGGCCCCTCCGACCACTACCAACCATTCACACACACACCAAACTCATTCTAGGCAATGGGGGTGAAGTGTCTTGCCTAAGGACACAACGGCAGTTTGGCACTTTACAGCCGCAGCCGCCCCACTGTGGCTGGTGTTCCCAGAGGTTAAGTGTCTTGCCAAGGACACAACGACAGTAGTCAGTGGGAGTCGATGGTGAAAGTCTTGAGCGGGGCTTGAACCCACGACCTTCTGGCTCAAAGGCCAACGCTCTACCAACTGAGCTACTGCCGCCCGATAAATGAGTGTCCAATAGTGTTGTCTACATATCCTGGTCATAATCTTGTCACTTTGGTGCAAATGAGTTGAAAGTTAAACTTTCTGTCTAAAACCGTCTGTGAGGCGCCATCTGCTGGCGACCTGTGTTACTACATTTGAATTTTGAATCTGGCGCCAACACTGGCGCGGCAGCAAGACCTGACGTCTGAAGCAAGACCCGACGTCTGAAGCAAGACCTGACGTCTGAAGCAAGACCTGACGTCTGAAGCAAGACCCGACGTCTGAAGCAAGACCCGACGTCTGAAGCAAGACCTGACGTCTGAAGCAAGACCCGACGTCTGAAGCAAGACCCGACGTCTGAAGCAAGACCTGACGTCTGAAGCAAGACCTGACGTCTGAAGCAAGACCTGACGTCTGAAGCAAGACCCGACGTCTGAAGCAAGACCCGACGTCTGAAGCAAGACCCGACGTCTGAAGCAAGACCCGACGTCTGAAGCAAGACCCGACGTCTGAAGCAAGACCCGACGTCTGAAGCAAGACCCGACGTCTGAAGACCAGCTGAAGCAAGACCCGACGTCTGAAGCAAGACCCGACGTCTGAAGCAAGACCCGACGTCTGAAGCAAGACCCGACGTCTGAAGCAAGACCCGACGTCTGAAGCAAGACCCGACGTCTGAAGCAAGACCCGACGTCTGAAGCAAGACCCGACGTCTGAAGCAAGACCCGACGTCTGTCTGAAGCAAGACCCGACGTCTGAAGCAAGACCCGACGTCTGAAGCAAGACCCGACGTCTGAAGCAAGACCCGACGTCTGAAGCAAGACCCGACGTCTGAAGCAAGACCCGACGTCTGAAGCAAGACCCGACGTCTGAAGCAAGACCCGACGTCTGAAGCAAGACCCGACGTCTGAAGCAAGACCCGACGTCTGAAGCAAGACCCGACGTCTGAAGCAAGACCCGACGTCTGAAGCAAGACCCGACGTCTGAAGCAAGACCCGACGTCTGAAGCAAGACCCGACGTCTGAAGCAAGACCCGACGTCTGAAGCAAGACCCGACGACGTCTGAAGCAAGACCCGACGTCTGAAGCAAGACCCGACGTCTGAAGCAAGACCCGACGTCTGAAGCAAGACCCGACGTCTGAAGCAAGACCCGACGTCTGAAGCAAGACCCGACGTCTGAAGCAAGACCCGACGTCTGAAGCAAGACCCGACGTCTGAAGCAAGACCCGACGTCTGAAGCAAGACCCGACGTCTGAAGCAAGACCCGACGTCTGAAGCAAGACCCGACGTCTGAAGCAAGACCCGACGTCTGAAGCAAGACCCGACGTCTGAAGCAAGACCCGACGTCTGAAGCAAGACCCGACGTCTGAAGCAAGACCCGACGTCTGAAGCAAGACCCGACGTCTGAAGCAAGACCCGACGTCTGAAGCAAGACCCGACGTCTGAAGCAAGACCCGACGTCTGAAGCAAGACCCGACGTCTGAAGCAAGACCCGACGTCTGAAGCAAGACCCGACGTCTGAAGCAAGACCCGACGTCTGAAGCAAGACCCGACGTCTGAAGCAAGACCCGACGTCTGAAGCAAGACCCGACGTCTGAAGCAAGACCCGACGTCTGAAGCAAGACCCGACGTCTGAAGCAAGACCCGACGTCTGAAGCAAGACCCGACGTCTGAAGCAAGACCCGACGTCTGAAGCAAGACCCGACGTCTGAAGCAAGACCTGACGTCAACAGCCCCCCGCCCAGAGCTATATAAACGGCCCAGTCTTGTTCACGCCCCCTTCAGTCCTCCCGGCCACGCCCATTTAGAGGAAGATTTGAACAGGAAATGTGAGTGACGTAAGCTCCGAGGAGCGGGGGTGAGAACCACTTTAACCTCAAAGGGAAAGATGCATAGTTCCAGGTTAAAGCTCAAGAGCTCCTTTCCTCCTGTGGTCATGGATGTACAGATTACATTTCGTCAAAATATGTTAAAATTCACAGACACAATTTGTCATAACCTCACATTCATATCGCTCATATATACTGACCAACTCTCTCTCTCTGTCTCTCTCTCTCTGTGTCTCTGTCTCTCTCTGTCTCTCTCTCTCTGTGTCTCTGTCTCTGTGTGTCTCTGTGGCTCTGTCTCTCTGTCTCTCTCTCTCTGTCTATGATTAGCATGCTAATGCTAATCACTGCAGCTTAGACCCAGCTCTAACCCACATTTGGTTCGAATCCCTCTCACTTAGACACGTATATGTTTTGTGTTCAGGCGTAGAGGATATTTTGGTGAAGCCGGGCGCCAACAAGCAGCGGAAAAAGATCATCAAGAACTCGCTCAAGATTGGGACAAAAGTAAGATTTCTATGAATGAATGTATTTGGTTCTGTTTTTTGATGATTAAGCGATTCTTCCAACGGGATTTTAAACATGTCTCTTTACTTTTATAGTTTCATTTCAATAGGTCTCTGTCTTTGTGTCTCTGTGTGTCTCTTTGTGTGTTTGTGTGTGTCTTTCTTTCTCTCTATTTTTGTGTGTGTGTGTCTCTATTTGTGTGTGTCTCTCTCTCTTTGTTTGTGTCTCTTTCTCTATTTGTGTGTGTCTCTTTCTCTATTTGTGTGTGTGTGTCTCTCTCTATTTGTGTGTGTCTCTTTCTCTATTTGTGTGTGTGTGTCTCTCTATTTGTGTGTGTCTCTCTCTTTCTCTATTTGTGTGTATGTGACTCTCTCTTTTGCTCTCTATTTGTGTCTTTATAGGTGTGTGTGTCTTTCTTTCTCTCTGTCTGTGTGTGTGTGTATTCGTGCGTGTCTCTCTCTATTTGTGTGTGTGTGTTTGTCTCTGTCTCTAAGTGTGTTTGTGTGTGTCTCTGTCTCTATTTGTGTGTGTCTCTGTCTCTAGTTGTGTGTGTGTCTCTGTCTCTAAGTGTGTTTGTGTGTGTGTGTGTGTGTCTTTCTAGTTATGTGTGTGTGTCTCTGTCTCTAGTTGTGTGTGTGTGTGTTTCTGTCTCTAGTTGTGTGTGTGTCTCTGTCTCGAAGTGTGTGTGTGTGTGTGTTTCTGTCTCTATTTGTGTGTGTTTGTCTCTGTCTCTAGTTGTGTGTGTGTGTTTGTATGTGGTGCAGTCTTGTCAAACTCAGTGCTCCGCCTTCAGTCGTTGCCATAGCGACGGTGAGGTGTGGTTCATGGGCCTCGTTGGTTCAAACCCTTTCATCTCTGAGATAAATATGTCTCACACACACATGTATCTTTGCCTTCCCATCTGGTAAAACGTCCCTAAACCCAGTGTGCGTCTCCAGGCGCTCCAGGCGGCGTTCAACCTGCCGTCTGACGTGGATCCTGCCGAGGCCCGGAGCCGGTGGCAGGACGCCCACCTCACACCGGACCAGAGGGACTTCAGTTTGGCCGACCACAAGTTTAAGGAAGTGGCCAACCAGGTCAACAACGAGATCAACAAGGTGAACGCTGGGTTTAAAGCTAATGTCGTGAATGTACCGTGTCTGTGAAGGTGGAAAGATAAGATTATTTACTTTAATCTTAATCTTTACTTTATTACTTTATTGGGCTCACAGCGGAGAAATGTCATTGTTGCACATTACAGCAGAGAAAGAAGGAAATAAGGCCCTGGTTATACGGAGGCTTTGTACACAGCGTTCATACAAGGATCAAAAACGATGTAGTTCTAGCGCCCGGCCAGTAGGGGGCAGAGGAACTTTACAACACGCCACACGCAAGCCCCAGCCCTCCCCCCCAGCAGTGTACTCACTTCCTCTGCAAGAGGTTGAAGAACCAACATCATTCTGTATTTTAACAGCAGCTGTGAAAATGGAAACTGAACCTAGAGCTTCGCGTGGTCTCGTTTTGACGAACAAAGGAGTAGAATTATCCTCTGTGCTGTGCTCGAAGCACACGTAGCTAGTTAGCTACCCGCCGCCATTACTGTTTACGTTTGTTCTACTGCGCATGTCCAAATGTACGTGCTGGGAGCAGCGGGAGGTGGGGGTCGGATCAGGCAGGGATTTCACACATTTTTCTTCACGCGGGTGTGAAAGAGCGCCCCCTGCTGAGCATCTGAGCTGACCACTCTGAGGCTGAGTTTACACGGAGACAATGTGGCAGTAAAACGGTATAGTCGGATGTCGGTTGCTACCAAGCGTTCATACGAAGACTGTGTTCCAGGTGAAAACGTAAGTGTTCAGATCCAGCCTCAGAGTGGGACACCTCAGAAACGCTGCACAGCAGGGAGCTCTTTCACACCCGCGAGAGGGAAAAGGTGTGAAATCCCCCTCTGCTCTGACCCCCGCCTCCCGCTGCTCCCCGCCACGTAAATTTGGACATGTGCAGTAGCGGAGAACAAACATCAACAACAATGGCGGCGGTCGCACTAACTAGCTTCGTGGGCTTCCAGCGCGGCACAGAGGATAATTCTACTCCTTCGTTCGTCCAAACGAGACCACGCGAAGATCTAGGTTCAGTTTCCATTTTCACAGCTGCTGTTAAAATGCAGAATGATGTTGGTACTTTCTGAGGGTCTGGCACAGGAAGTGAGTACACTGCCGAGAGGGGGGGGGGGGGGGGGGGGGGCTGGGGGTCGTGTGAGTGTTGTAAAGTTTCTCTGCCCACTACTGGCCGGGCGCTAGAACTACATCGTTTTTCAACCTCATGTGAACGCAGAGAAATTTGCATTAGGAGCCTGGTCGTTTCTGTTAATAGCCTGGAAACGTCTGCGCAGCGTCTCAGTATAAACAGGGCCTTAGGCTGGATCTGAACTCTTCTGTTTTCACCTGAAACACAGTCTCTGCATGAACAGAGCAACTGACACCAACTACAGCGTTTTACTGCAGCAGTGTCTCCGTGTAAACAGGGCCTAAGACTCAGTTTGTTCACATCAAACCACATCTGGGTCTTACACATGGTAAGACCAGACGTACATGTAGGAAATGATTATGGACCAGAGTTTACACATGGTAAGACCAGGCTGTATTTGACCTCCATAGTCCCATACTTCCTTCAGTCTAAACCTCGTCTCGCCTCAGGTCTGCATGCCGATGGGTCTCCACAGGTCTTTCCCCGACAACAACCTGCAGCTCATGGTCCAGTCCGGCGCCAAAGGGTCCACGGTCAACACGATGCAGGTAACTCCTCTGTCCTGGTGAAGTCTGCAGTCCTGTCGGTGCCGCTGGCCAAGGCGACTGCGACAGTGACGTGTGGTTCATGGGCCTCATCGGTCTAAACCAGGGGTCGGGAACCCAAAATGTTCAAAGAGCCATAATTGACAAAAAAAACTAAAAACAACATCTGTCTGGAGCCGCAAAAAAATAACAGCCTTGTATAAAGGCTTTTATGAAGGTAACACAGGCTGCAAGATGTATTAGCTATATTAGCCTAATATCTAAATGACAAAGTAAAGGCTACAAATGTGTATTTTCACTGCAGCGTGTTGCACCACGCGTGTCGTGAATGGCGCAACACGGGACAACTCTGCTTTAGTTTAACTTCCATTTTTTTTTGCCTTCATGCAATTGTAGAAATACAGTAAATCAATCTGCTTTGGGGTCAGAGGTCACATACCTGCATCACTGTCTGCTCATATCCATCACGTCACAGGCTGAAGTTTGCTGGAGCTGAATGTCCTTAATGGCCTTTTCTTTCACCGTCTTTGAGAAGGTTTTGAAGTCTGAAAATAGGGGCTCTGAATTTCTGATGAATGAATCCTTCACGTAATCACCGTTTACGGTGTTTTGCGCGTCATTGTTCCTCGTGTTGCTACAAAACTTTTCATTACAAACATGAAGCAGTCCTTCCTCATTGACTGAAAGAAGATGTTCATTCTCATTCTTAGTCCAGTCTTGTAATTGACTCTTCCTCGTTTTAGCTTTGGGATCCATGTGCACAGTCTATGATGCACACACGCCGGTTTGTTTACAGCAGCGGCCGCATGGGGCGGGGCCGCGTGACGGCGCGTCATAGGATATGACGCGCTACGTTGACAGAAATGTTGAAATTAAATATTACTTATACACATTTTTACAGCATTTAAAAACGTAAAGATTGTTTTTCCTTCTACAGAAACCACATTCAAACTAGAAATAAAATATAGCCCTCACACTCCATTTTCAGACATGTTTGAAAAGGCTCCAGGAGCCACTCCAGGAGCACTCAAGAGCCGCATGCGGCTCCGGAGCCGTGGGTTGCCGACCCCTGGTCTAAACTCTTTTATCTCTGAGGATAAATATGTATCGTCTGATTTTAGACGTATAGATATCTCATAGTTTTAACAGCACAGCTATAATCCAGTGCGCCCTCTGTGTCAATTTCTGGCTGTGTTTACAGACCGAGCTTTAGCTAGTTTTAACAGTCCGAGTGAAACGGCAAACGTTCCGGGCCGTCTCTAAAAGTTACAAACACATTTCTATGGCGCCTTGTGGAGCAATACTGTTACATTTGCCTAAAGAGAGAGAGACCAGAGAGAGAGACCAGAGAGACCAGAGAGAGAGACCAGAGAGAGACCAGAGAGAGAGGCCAGAGAGAGAGGCCAGAGAGAGAGGCCAGAGAGAGGCCAGAGAGAGAGGCCAGAGAGAGAGGCCAGAGAGAGAGGCCAGAGAGAGAGGCCAGAGAGAGAGCACCAGAGAGAGAGACCAGAGAGAGAGACCAGAGAGAGAGACCAGAGAGAGAGACCAGAGAGAGAGACCAGAGAGAGAGACCAGAGAGAGAGACCAGAGAGAGAGACCAGAGAGAGAGACCAGAGAGAGAGACCAGAGAGAGAGACCAGAGAGAGAGACCAGAGAGAGAGACCAGAGAGAGAGACCAGAGAGAGAGACCAGAGAGAGAGACCAGAGAGAGAGACCAGAGAGAGAGACCAGAGAGAGAGACCAGAGAGAGAGACCAGAGAGAGAGACCAGAGAGAGAGACCAGAGAGAGAGACCAGAGAGAGAGACCAGAGAGAGAGACCAGAGAGAGAGACCAGAGAGAGAGACCAGAGAGAGAGACCAGAGAGAGAGACCAGAGAGAGAGACCAGAGAGAGAGACCAGAGAGAGAGACCAGAGAGAGAGGCCAGAGAGAGAGGCCAGAGAGAGAGACCACAGAGAGAGACACCAGTGAGAGAGAGACACCAGTGAGAGAGACACCAGTGAGAGAGAGACACCAGTGAGAGAGACACCAGTGAGAGAGACACCAGTGAGAGAGACACCAGTGAGAGAGACACCAGTGAGAGAGACACCAGTGAGAGAGACACCAGTGAGAGAGACACCAGTGAGAGAGACACCAGTGAGAGAGACACCAGTGAGAGAGACACCAGTGAGAGAGACACCAGTGAGAGAGACACCAGTGAGAGAGACACCAGTGAGAGAGACACCAGTGAGAGAGACACCAGTGAGAGAGACCACAGAGAGACAGACCACAGAGAGACAGAGACACCAGTGAGAGAGACCAGAGAGAGAGAGAGAGACACCAGTGAGAGAGACAACAGAGAGAGAGAGACACCAGTGAGAGAGACCACAGAGAGACAGACCACAGAGAGAGAGAGACACCAGTGAGAGAGACCAGAGAGAGAGAGAGACACCAGTGAGAGAGACACCAGTGAGAGAGACACCAGTGAGAGAGACACCAGTGAGAGAGACACCAGTGAGAGAGACACCAGTGAGAGAGACACCAGTGAGAGAGGCCAGAGAGAGAGGCCAGAGAGACAGAGACCACAGAGAGACAGAGACCACAGAGAGACAGAGACCACAGAGAGACAGAGAGACCAGTGAGACAGAGACCACAGAGAGACAGAGACCACAGAGAGACAGAGACCACAGAGAGACAGAGAGACCAGTGAGACAGAGACCACAGAGAGACAGAGAGACCAGTGAGACAGAGACCACAGAGAGACAGAGACCACAGAGAGACAGAGACCACAGAGAGACAGAGAGACCAGTGAGACAGAGACCACAGAGAGACAGAGACCACAGAGAGAGAGACCAGAGAGAGAGACCAGAGAGAGAGACCAGAGAGAGAGACCAGAGAGAGAGGCCAGAGAGAGAGGCCAGAGAGAGAGACCACAGAGAGAGACACCAGTGAGAGAGAGACACCAGTGAGAGAGACACCAGTGAGAGAGAGACACCAGTGAGAGAGACACCAGTGAGAGAGACACCAGTGAGAGAGACACCAGTGAGAGAGACACCAGTGAGAGAGACACCAGTGAGAGAGACACCAGTGAGAGAGACACCAGTGAGAGAGACACCAGTGAGAGAGACACCAGTGAGAGAGACACCAGTGAGAGAGACACCAGTGAGAGAGACACCAGTGAGAGAGACACCAGTGAGAGAGACACCAGTGAGAGAGACACCAGTGAGAGAGACCACAGAGAGACAGACCACAGAGAGACAGAGACACCAGTGAGAGAGACCAGAGAGAGAGAGAGACACCAGTGAGAGAGACAACAGAGAGAGAGAGACACCAGTGAGAGAGACCACAGAGAGACAGACCACAGAGAGAGAGAGACACCAGTGAGAGAGACCAGAGAGAGAGAGAGACACCAGTGAGAGAGACACCAGTGAGAGAGACACCAGTGAGAGAGACACCAGTGAGAGAGACACCAGTGAGAGAGACACCAGTGAGAGAGGCCAGAGAGAGAGGCCAGAGAGACAGAGACCACAGAGAGACAGAGACCACAGAGAGACAGAGACCACAGAGAGACAGAGAGACCAGTGAGACAGAGACCACAGAGAGACAGAGACCACAGAGAGACAGAGACCACAGAGAGACAGAGACCACAGAGAGACAGAGACCACAGAGAGACAGAGACCACAGAGAGACAGAGAGACCACAGAGAGACAGAGAGACCACAGAGAGACAGAGAGACCACAGAGAGACAGAGACCACAGAGAGACAGAGACCACAGAGAGACAGAGACCACAGAGAGACAGAGACCACAGAGAGACAGAGACCACAGAGAGACAGAGACCAGTGAGACAGAGACCACAGAGAGACAGAGACCACAGAGAGACAGAGACCACAGAGAGACAGAGACCACAGAGAGACAGAGACCACAGAGAGACAGAGACCACAGAGAGACAGAGACCACAGAGAGACAGAGACCACAGAGAGACAGAGACCACAGAGAGACAGAGACCACAGAGAGACAGAGACCACAGAGAGACAGAGACCACAGAGAGACAGAGACCACAGAGAGACAGAGACCACAGAGAGACAGAGACCACAGAGAGACAGAGACCACAGAGAGACAGAGACCACAGAGAGACAGAGACCACAGAGAGACAGAGACCACAGAGAGACAGAGACCACAGAGAGACAGAGACCACAGAGACCACAGAGAGACAGAGACCACAGAGAGACAGAGACCACAGAGAGACAGAGACCACAGAGAGACAGAGACCACAGAGAGACAGAGACCACAGAGAGACAGAGACCACAGAGAGACAGAGACCACAGAGAGACAGAGACCACAGAGAGACAGAGACCACAGAGAGACAGAGACCACAGAGAGACAGAGACCACAGAGAGACAGAGACCACAGAGAGACAGAGACCACAGAGAGACAGAGACCACAGAGAGACAGAGAGACCACAGAGAGACAGAGAGACCACAGAGAGACAGAGAGACCACAGAGAGACAGAGACCACAGAGAGACAGAGACCAGTGAGACAGAGACCACAGAGAGACAGAGACCACAGAGAGACAGAGACCACAGAGAGACAGAGACCACAGAGAGACAGAGACCACAGAGAGACAGAGAGAAAGAGAGACCACAGAGAGACAGAGACACCAGTGAGAGACAGAGACACCAGTGAGAGACAGAGACACCAGTGAGAGACAGAGACACCAGTGAGAGAGACCACAGAGAGAGGGACCACAGAGAGAGAGACCAGAGAGAGATTTTATTGTGAAGGTTCCTCTCATGTTCCGACCCCATCACCTTCTCCTTCTGTGGTAGATTTCCTGTCTGTTGGGTCAGATCGAGCTGGAGGGTCGGCGCCCGCCCCTGATGCCTTCTGGGAAATCTCTGCCCTGTTTCCAGCCGTACGATCCTTCGCCCGGAGCCGGAGGGTTCGTGTCCGGAAGGTTCCTCACTGGGATCAAACCACAGGTGAAGACAACCATCAACATCCATCACATTTCTGTACAGCAAAAAAATATGTTAATTATCTGCACAACTAGTATAAAAACTATATGTTAATGGTGTGTGTGTTTGATGGTAGGAGTTCTTCTTCCATTGTATGGCCGGGAGAGAGGGTCTGGTGGACACGGCTGTGAAAACCTCCAGATCTGGATACTTGCAGCGGTAAGTCTGTTCTTTTATTGATATTTTATTGATATTTTATTACACACAAAAATATTCTTTGCTGAGAATGTGCCTAAAGAAGGTCTCAGAAACATGGACAGCAGTCTGTGGGAACCATTGTTTTACCATCAGCAAGGACCATCAGCAAGGACCATCAGCAAGGACCATCAGCAAGGACCATCAGCAAGGACCATCAGCCAGGACCATCAGCCAGGACCATCAGCCAGGACCATCAGCCAGGACCATCAGCCAGGACCATCAGCCAGGACCATCAGCCAGGACCATCAGCCAGGACCATCAGCCAGGACCATCAGCCAGGACCATCAGCCAGGACCATCAGCCAGGACCATCAGCCAGGACCATCAGCCAGGACCATCAGCCAGGACCATCAGCCAGGACCATCAGCCAGGACCATCAGCAAGGACCATCAGAAAGGCCTCTGTCTCACTTTCTTTGTCTCTCTTCCTCTCTCTCGTTCCCCCTCTCTCTCTCCCCCTCTGTCTCTGTCTCTCCCTCTCTCTCCCCTCCCCCCCTCCGACCCTCTCCCTCGCTCTCTCTTCCTCCCCTCTTCCTCGCTCCTTCCCTCCCTCGCCCCTCCCTCACCTCTCCCTCACTCCCTCTCTCTCTCCCTTGCTCCTCCCTCACCCCTATCTCTCTCTCCCTCCCTCCCTCTCTCTCTCCCTTGTTCCTCCCCCTGAACCCCCTCTCTCTCTCTCCCTCCTCCCCTTTCACCTGCTCCCCTCTCTCTCCCCTCCCCCTCCCCCCCCCCCCCCTCCCTCCTCCTGCCTCTCTCTCTCCCTCCTCTCTCTCCTCTCCCTCTCCTCCTGCTCTCCCCCTCTCCCCCCTCCCTCACTCCCTCTCCCTCTCTCTCTTCCTCCCCTCTTCCTCGCTCCCTCCCTCTCTTGCCTCTCCCTCTCTCTCTCCCTTGTTCCTCCCCCCCTCCCCCTGACCCCCTCTCTCTCTCTCCCTCCTCCTCTCTCTCCCCTCCCCCCCTCTCTCCCCCTCTCCCCCCTCCTCTCTCTGCAGATGTGTGATCAAGCACCTGGAGGGCCTGGTGGTGCAGTACGACCTCACGGTGAGAGACAGCGATGGTTCCGTGGTGCAGTTTCTTTACGGAGAGGACGGACTCGACGTTCCCAAAACACAGTTCCTGGTTCCCCGACAGTTCCCCTTCGTCGAGGAGAACTACGAGGTACAAAAAAACCAAAACCCAACGCATTCTTTTTGCCCACTAAAAGTTATTTAGAGAGTGTAAACTTTGTGAAATACAATCTTAAGTAGAAGATATATGGAAACGTATTTGTAGGGAGGATTAAAGAATGGCTTTCTGCCTGTAGTTCCCTATGCCACCACCAGGGGGAGGTCATTCATTACTGCTAATACAATAATGTGATGGTCAAAACAAGCACAAATATCTGTTAGAATAGTTTAAATACAGATATGAGAAAAGGGGGCGGAGCTACATATGTGTTTTTTTGTTTTTTTCTTCATGTTCAGGTCATAAGGAAATCCCAGGGTCTTGATGAAATCCTGTCCGGGTTGGATCCTGAAGCTGCCAGGAAGCACTTTACTGCGATTCAGAGATGGAAAGATAAACGCTCCGCTGCAGATCCACGACAAGGTGAGAAAGATCTCTCTCTCTCTCTGTCTCTGTTTCTCTCTCTCTCTCTCTCTGGTCTGTCTGTCTCTCTCTCTCTGGTCTCTCTCTCTCTGGTCTCTCTCTCTCTGTCTCTCTGTCTCTCTGTCTCTGTGTCTCTGTGTCTCGGTCTCTCTCTCGATCTCTCTCGGTCTCTCTCTGGTCTCCCTCTCTTCTCTCTCTCTCTGCTCTCTCTCTCTGGTCTCTGCTCTCTCTCTCTGGTCTCTCTGTCGCTCTCTCTCTGCTCTCTCTCTGCTCTCTCTCTCTCTGGTCTGTCTCTGTTCTCTCTCTCTGCTCTCTCTCTCTCTGCTCTCTCTGTCGCTCTCTCTCTCTGGTCTCTGTCTCTGTCTCTCTCTCTCTGGTCTCCCTCTCTTCTCTCTGTCTCTGCTCTCTCTCTCTCTGGTCTCCCTCTCTCTCTCTGTCTCTCTGTCTCTCTCTCTCTGGTCTCCCTCTCTTCTCTCTCTCTCTCTGGTCTCTCTGGTCTCTCTCTCTCTCTCTCTCTCTCTCTGGTCTCTTTCTGTCCCACACTATAATTACGTATGTGTCTCTCTCTGGTCTCTCTCTCTCTCTCTCTGGTCTCTCTCTCTCTGTCTCTCTGTCTCTCTCTCTCTGGTCTCCCTCTCTCTCTGGTCTCCCTCTCTTCCCTCTCTCTCTCTGGTCTCTCTCTGTCTGGTCTTTCTCTGTCTCTCTTCTCTCTGGTCTCTCTCTGGTCTCCCTCTCTCTCTGGTCTCCCTCTCTCTCTGGTCTCCCTCTCTCTCTGGTCTCCCTCTCTTCTCTCTCTCTCTCTGGTCTCCCTCTCTTCCCTCTCTCTCTCTGGTCTCTCTCTCTCTCTGGTCTTTCTCTGTCTCTCTTCTCTCTGGTCTCTCTCTGGTCTCTCTCTCTCTCTCTGGTCTCCCTCTCTTCCCTCTCTCTCTCTGGTCTCTCTCTCTCTCTTGTCTTTCTCTGTCTCTCTTCTCTCTGGTCTCTCTCTGGTCTCTCTCTCTCTCTCTCTTCTCTCTCTCTCTCTCTGTCCCGCACTATAATTACGTATGTGTTTTGTTTTTTACAGGTGCATTTCTTTTGTACTCACAGAAGAAATTGGCTAAAATCAAAGCGTCGTCGACAGATGGAGTGAGCGTCAACAGCAGAGAAACCCCCACTTTAGAGGTAAATGTTGTGAGGGCAGTGAGAGAGTTCAGTTGATATGATGCTAATGTGTCTTGGAGATAAATATGTAGGTCATTCTTACTGCTCACAGCTTAGAACACACAAAACACAAGAGAATGAACCGTAGTCATCAAAGAATTACTGAAATAAATTAACTTCCACAGATTCAGGGATTTTTCTATTTTCTATAAAACCACATTGGAATGCATGTGTCTCTGGTTTTTCTCTGGTCTCTCTCTCTTTCTGCTCCCTCTGGTCTCACTTTCTAGTATTTCTCTCTCCTGTACTGACTTGTCTGTCGGTCTCTCTCTGGTCTCTCTCTGGTCTCTTTCTGGTCTCTCTCTGGTCTCTTTCTGGTCTCTCTCTGGTCTCTCTCTGGTCTCTTTCTGGTCTCTCTGGTCTCTCTCTCTGGTCTCTCTCTGGTCTCTCTGGTCTCTCTCTGGTCTCTGGTCTCTCTCTGGTCTCTGGTCTCTCTCTGGTCTCTTTCTGGTCTCTCTCTGGTCTCTCTCTGGTCTCTCTCTGGTCTCTCTCTGGTCTCTCTCTGGTCTCTCTCTGGTCTCTCTCTCTGGTCTCTCTCTGGTCTCTCTCTCTGGTCTCTCTCTGGTCTCTCTCTGGTCTCTCTCTCTGGTCTCTCTCTGGTCTCTCTCTGGTCTCTCTCTGGTCTCTCTCTCTGGTCTCTCTCGGGTCTCTCTCTGGTCTCTCTCTGGTCTCTCTCTGGTCTCTCTCTGGTCTCTCTCTGGTCTCTCTCTGGTCTCTCTGGTCTCTCTCTGGTCTCTCTCTCTCCTGTACTGACCTGTCTGTCTCTCTCTCAGCTGATCGATCAGTGGCGAGCTCTGCCGGACCAGAGTAGATCCAAATACACAAAGAGACAGTTCCGTTGTCCGGAGCCGGCGCTGGGTCTGCTCCGACCCGACGTCAACTTTGGATCCGTGTCGGAAAACTTCCACGACATCACAGAGAAATACCTGAGCAGCTGCAGCCTGGACCAGGACCGACAGGACAGGTCTGGTTTAACTTACATTATGTACATGTGTTACTCTGGTCTCTCTCTCTGGTCTCTCTCTCTGGTCTCTCTCTCTGGTCTCTCTCTGGTCTCTCTGGTCTCTCTCTGGTCTCTCTCTGGTGTCTCTCTGGCCTCTCTCTGGTCTCTCTCTCTGGTCTCTCTCTCTGGTCTCTCTCTGGTCTCTCTCTGGTCTCTCTCTGGTCTCTCTCTGGTCTCTCTCTCTGGTCTCTCTCTCTGGTCTCTCTCTGGTCTCTCTCTCTGGTCTCTCTCTCTGGCCTCTCTCTCTGGTCTCTCTCTGGTCTCTCTCTCTGGTCTCTCTCTGGTCTCTCTCTGGTCTCTCTCTGGTCTCTCTCTCTGGTCTCTCTCTCTGGTCTCTCTCTCTGGTCTCTCTCTCTGGTCTCTCTCTGGTCTCTCTCTGGTCTCTCTCTGGTCTCTCTCTGGTCTCTCTCTGGTCTCTCTCTGGATAAACCGACAAACCCGTCGGATGTCGCTCTAGCACGTTCCGAGTAAACAGTGAAAATAGGTCGAGTGTCATTTTTTTTGGCTAAATTGTGTTTTCATTAAATAATTATTATATAACGTCTTGTCTTTAATTTCTGAAAATATCTAGGTGAAATTCACTAGTTTTATACCTTAAAACGCTCACGAAATTAAAGCTCGGGTACCTAATTTTCTCCTTGCATTAAAAATGCTTGGTGGTTGTGGATATTTATACTGCGTGATTGGATAGAATAATACTGGCTTTGTCTAATACATACATAATGTTCAGTAACTTATAAAGAGAAAGAAACTAAAAAAGAAGAGTTAGAAAAGTTTTGTAAAACAAATTCAATTCATTTCATTTTGAAATAATTCTTGATTCTTGATCTAATTCATGAGGTTTGTGTGTTTAGTTGGTGCCAAAGTAACGTTTGTTTATCTTTTACAACATAGTGACTAAAATAAGTGCCATAACCGAGTAATTCATATTATCCATCCATCCATCCATTTTCTTCCCTTTAATCCATTTCTGGGTCAGGGGGGTGGCAGTCAGAGATGCCACCCAAGTCTCATAGCACCAGCCCCTCACTGACCCTCTGCAGGTGGTGAGTCCACAGGAGGACGGCTGCTCTGAGTGTGAGCATAGCCTTGATCTTTCAGTGGGAGCTTTGGGCAAAGTGGGGTTAAGTGTCTTGCCCAAGGACACAACGATAGCAGTCATCAGTGGGAGTCGGTGGAGAAGGTGCAGAGGTGGGAATTTAACCCACGACCTTCAGGCCTGAAGGCCAATGCTCTACCAACTGAGCTACTGTCGCCCTTAAACATATTAAACATGTTATATTTGATTGTGGTGATTCTATTTAGAAAGTCTAACTTTAAACCTGTTTTTCTCAGAATTCTGTTTCATAAAACCATGTGAATTCGCTGACTTCAGATATTGATAACTTTTGTTACAGACCTGCTATGAAAAAAAGGAAAACAGATTTGAAAAAAGATAGAAATCAGCTTTAATATGGCGTCAGAATCTTCAGTTTGTCACATTTGTGTTCTGATTTAAAGGTCATAGTGTCATAGTGGTACAATGACTTCATACTATTACTGGACTGAGACAGGAAGTAGACAGGAAGGGGAGGAGCTACATGTTTGTGCCTGAAATACCTGATGTTAGCTTTGAAAACAAACTTTAGGTCTGTTCTTAATGAGGGAACAATGTTGTAGCATGATACGTCTCCTTTAATATTTAGTTTCTTCTGATTTCCTTTGTGGAAATAAATGGGATTCTGACCTTTTGTCTCTTTCTCTCCCCCTCTCTCTCTCTCTCCCCCCTCCCCCCCCCTCAGTCTCCGTCGGCTGCTGCAGTACAAATGGCAGCGGTCTCTGTGTGACCCTGGAGAGGCCGTGGGGCTGTTGGCGGCTCAGTCCATCGGAGAACCCTCCACTCAGATGACCCTCAACACCTTCCACTTCGCTGGTCGCGGAGAGATGAACGTCACGCTGGGAATACCGCGGTAACGCCATCTTTACATTACAGTATTACAGTATTTTTTAGTTTTTTTCTAGCTTTGTTTGGCTGAAACCTGCACATGACAGTTTCTTTTTGTCAGACTGATGTTTGTTGTTCATTGTTCAAGTCAAATAATCTCAAAAACAATAACAAATAAGATATTCCAATGTCTCTCTCTGGTCCCTCACACGCTCTCGCTCTCTCTTCCTCTGTCTGGTGTCTCTCTCTGGTCTCGCTCTCTGGTGTCTCTCTCTGGTGTCTCTCTCTGGTGTCTCTCTCTGGTCTCGCTCTCTGGTGTCTCTCTCTCTGGTGTCTCTCTCTGGTGTCTCTCTCTGGTCTCGCTCTCTGGTGTCTCTCTCTGGTGTCTCTCTCTGGTCTCTTTCTTTCTGGTCTCTCTGTCTGTCTGTCCCTCGCTCTCTCCCTCCCATCTCTCATTCTCTGTCTCTCTCTCCATCCATCCATCTCTCTGTCTCTCACCATCTCTCATTCTCTGTCTCTCTCTCCATCCATCCATCTCTCTGTCTCTCACTCTCTCTCATTCTCTTGTCTCTCTCTCCATCCATCTCTCTCTCTGTCTCTCACTCTCTCTCATTCTCTTGTCTCTCTCTCCATCCATCTCTCTCTCTGTCTCTCACTCTCTCTCATTCTCTTGTCTCTCTCTCCATCCATCTCTCTCTCTGTCTCTCACTCTCTCTCATTCTCTTGTCTCTCTCTCCATCCATCTCTCTCTGTCTCTCACTCTCTCTCTCATTCTGTCTCTCTCTCCATCTCTCTTTCTCTCTCCCTCGCTCTCTCCCTCCCATCTCTCACTCTCTCTCTCACTCTGTCTCTCTCACACTCTCGCTCTCTCTCATTCTCTTGTCTCTCTCTTCATCCATTCTCTGTCTCTCACTCTCTCTTTCTCTGTTCTCTCTCTCCATCCCTCTCCCACTCTCTCTCGCTCATTCTCTGTCTCTCTCTCCATCCCTCTCTCTGTCTCTCACTCTCTCTCTCTCTCTCTCTCTCTCTGTCTCTCTCCCCCCCTCTCTCCCCCCCTCTCTCCCCCCCTCTCTCTCCCCCAGACTGAGGGAGATCCTGATGGTGGCCAGCTCCAACATTAAGACCCCCATGATGAGTGTCCCGGTCCTGGGCACAAAGAAAGCTCTGAGGAAAGCAAAGATTCTGAGGAAGATGCTCACACGCGTCTGTCTGTCTGAGGTCAGAGCTCTCTCATTTACACACACTGCAAAAAGTCATGAGAAATATGGCCAAAACTGCTCAGAATTGTCCAATGTGTCTTAATCTGACTGAGCTTTAAAACTAGATTCTCCAACGGGACAAAGGAAAATGATCTCGTTTTATAAAGATACAGAAGTGTCTCCCTTGGAATGAGGAGATAAAACTAAATGTCTTTGTCCCATTGGAGAATCTGGTTTTAACAAATTCACAATGACTCAGATTAAGATTAAAAACATTTGATTTAAGCATTTTTTTTAATATTTTTTGCAGTGTACTTTATTTATTTATCAGGCCTTGGCTCTCTGGACTCTCTCTGGTGTCTCTCTCTGCGGTCTCTCTCTGGTCTCTCTCTGGTCTCTTTGGTCTCTCTCTGGTCTCTTTTACAGGTCTCTCTCTGGTCTCTCTTACAGGCCTCTCTCTGGTCTCTCTTACAGGTCTCTCTCTGGTCTCTCTTACAGGTCTCTTTCTGGTCTCTCTTACAGGCCTCTCTCTTTGGTCTCTCTCTGGTCTCTCTTACTGCTAATTTACACATCACGCGTTACAGCACGTAAGCGTTATACGCGCAGCAGACGCGCGTAACTTTTTTCCATGTTAACCTATGATGATATTTACACTTCTAGCGTTATACGCGTGAATGACGGACATATGACGCGAAGCTGCGCTCTAATTTAGGATGGATTTCTAATTTTGTGCGCGCACCAACGCGTCTCCCATTGAAATCTCATGTAAAACATGATTTTTCTAGCGGCCCTTGGCTCTAGATCGCATCTACACGCACGCTCGCACGCACACACACACACACACACAGCACTTGTGTCTAAACATCAGCAGGAGGAGCAGCAGGTTTAACAGTGATTCTGGACATTGTTTTTTTTCTTTCATAAAGTCTCACGTCTGGCTAAACCAGCAACAGAGACCATGAAGACAAACACATGCATGTGATTTGTGTTGCTCTACATCAGTCCTCTGGCCCGTACTGTCCTCTACACTGCTCCATAGAGCTCCGGACGTCACGTGACCCGTTTGTCTGTGACGCCATTTTGGCAGGAAGCCACAGGCGGTGAGCGCCGTTACTACAATAATAATGGACAGCAGCAAACAACTTTCCCAAAGCGATAAACAGCGATACATCGCTAAGCTTAATAGACTGCAAATTAGTGATCCATATTTAGCTCCCGGTGTGCTTTTTAAACCTTTAGATCAAGTGGCCGAGACCGTAGGACTCCCTAATATAGAATATCCTGACATATATAACTACCTTTATAAACTTTCCTTCTGACTACACCGGAGACTCGCTGAAAGCGTACAAAAGCCTGGAGGGATATGAATGGACTCAATCTGGATTTGTGGCCGATGTTCTGCTGTGGAGTTTAACTCAGAAGGATTATTTTGTTGTCACTGCACGAGTAAGTACCTGCCTTGATTATTATCTCATAAACTACTATGACAGCAACATTAGCACGCTAAGCTTGTAGTGACAGAATAGCAGCAGTTTTACAGATGATTTTTGTTACAGGTAAATCATTCACAAAGATTAAATGACCCCTCTCTGAAACCATGGGCAGTGATCAGAAGAGATGGAGTAGTGCTTGGTGCTCATTGTAATTGCACAGCTGGACAGGGCGAGTGCTGCTCTCATGTTTCAGCTATGTTGTTCAAGTTATGGCAGCATAACTGTAAGGGACCGATGGTGTAGCAGGAAACACACAAACTGTTTAATTACTAAGGCTTTTTAATTAGCCAAAAAATGAGCCAAACAATACAAATAAATGAGGCCAAAATCAAATGTACAACTGAACATGACAAACACTGACCTAACACAAGACACACCAGGGGAACATTTGAGCTGGATGATCAGACCAACTATTAACTAAAGGGGGTAAACAAGACTACACAAAACAGATACATTTACTTAACTAATTAAGGATAAAGTTAATAGTAATAATATGACTAATAATAATAATAATAATAATAATAAATGAATGCTAATATATGCTTATACTGAATATTAGAATATAAACTCAAATGAATCTCCCCAAACATCCCCTCTTCTGGACCTGCCATGGTTCAGGCCATAGGGTGGAGCCTGGAGGCAACACCCTCAGCTGGAGTGGGTGGAGTCAGCTCACAGGAGTGTGAGCTCCAATTGTGAGGGAGGAGTCAGCCCTCACATACCCCCCCTCTTCAAAAAGTTCACTGTGGCTGCGGGAAAGATAGTCAGCGGTGTGGTTCTCCTTTCCGGGAATGTGCTGGACCACAAATATGAACGGCTGCATTCCGATATACCATCTGGTGATTCTCCCATTGGTGTCCCGCATCTTCTCCAGCCACTGCAGAGCCTTATGGTCTGTCTGCAAGACGAACTGACGTCCCAGCAGATAATACTTAAAGGAGTCCAGCGCCCATTTTATGGCCAACGCTTCCTTTTCAATGGTTGCATACCGCACCTCCCGGGGGAACAGCTTGCGGCTTATGTATGCAACCGGGTGTCTGTCTTCCGGCGGTCCTTGCAGCAGCACCGCTCCAATGCCCCGGTCCGATGCGTCTGTTTGCAAAACAAAGTCTTTGTCAAAATCCGGACAGAGCAACACTGGATCCTTACTCAAGGCTTGTTGAATGTCCTTGTACGCCGCTATCCTCTCTTCTGTCCACTTCAGCTGATTCAGTTGCTGAGAGCCAGTCATATCTGTCAGAAGTGCCGCTCGAGCAGAGAATTGTGGGATGAAGCGATGATAAAACCCGGCCATCCCTAGGAAAGACCTTAACTGCTTCCTAGTTTGTGGCAATGGACAAGATGCAATCGCTTCAATCTTTTTAATCTGCGGTTTGATTACCCCACCTCCAATTATGAAGCCAAGGTACTGGGTCTCAGCCTGGGCCAGAGAGCACTTTGCTGGGTTTAATGTGAGACCAGCTGCCTTTAGAGCTCCCAGAACCTTTGCCAGATGCTCCAAATGTTCCCCCCAGGTGGTACTGAAAATAACAATGTCATCCAGATAAGCACAGGCATACTCTGAATGACCACACAGTACCTGGTCCATCAATCGTTGGAAGCTTGCTGGGGCGCCATGGAGACCAAATGGCAGAACCGTAAACTCAAACAATCCCCAGGGTGTGCGGAAGGCCGTGAACTCCTGTGACTGCTGTGCGAGGGGAACCTGCCAATAACCTTTGCAGAGGTCAATGGTGGTGAGGTACTTGGCCTTTCCCAGTCGCCCAATCAGGTCATCGACTCGGGGGGTTGGATAACAATCAAACTTTGAGACAGAATTTAAGTACCTGAAGTCTATACAGAACCTGATCGCCCCATCCTTTTTAGGAACCAGCACCACAGGATTACACCATTCACTTTTTGATGGCTGAATGATTCCCAGGGAAAGCATTAGATCCACTTCCTTCTTCAACGCCACCAGGAGCCGCTCAGGTATTCTGTAACTCGTACGCTTAAGGGGTGCATCAGGTTTCAGTACAATCGTATGTTCCACCACACTTGTTCGGCCCGGATATTCCGAAAACACATTATCAATGAGTGGCTTTACCTGGGATTTTTGTTCTTCACTGAGGTGAGAAATATCAAGATGGGAACGTTGAGTTATAGGTAAATATTGATCATCCACCTCGTCTTCTTCCTCCACCTTCCGGATCAGCATCACCTCCGCCATTTTCTCCTCTCTGGGAAACCACTCCTTGAGAAGGTTAACATGGAGGATTCTTTTGGAGCGATGACGCCCAGGCATGGAGACTTCATATGTGGTGGGGCCAATCTTTCTTGTGATGTCATAGGGCCCTTGCCACTTTGCTAGGAGTTTGCTGTCACTGGTGGGCAACATGACCAATACCTTGTTTCCAGGTTCCAAATTTCTGTGGCGTGCTGCCCGATCGTACCACCTCTTCTGATCATGTTGTGCTGCTTTCATGTTCTCCTGAGCCAGATCACTCATCTTTTGCAGCCTTTCACGCATCTGAATGACATAAGAAATTACATTAATGGGCTCCCCCCTCCCCTGATCTCCCTCCCATGTCTCCTTCAACAAAGTCAATGGGCCCCTCACTTCATGTCCATATAAAAGTTCAAAGGGAGAAAACCCAGAGGAGGCCTGAGGTTCCTCCCTATAGGCAAAAAGGAGGTAAGGGAGCCACTGATCCCAATCGGAACCAGTGTCGTTCACAAACTTACGAAGCATTTGTTTGAGGGTTTGATTGAACCGTTCTGTCAAGCCGTCCGTTTGTGGGTGATAGGGGGTTGTCCGTACACTGCGAATACCCAGCAATTTGTAGACCTGTTTCAAAAGTTCAGACATAAAGTTAGTTCCTTGATCAGTCACAATTTCGCTTGGGAATCCCACTCTGGAAAACAGCTGGATGAGGGAAAAGGCCACAGTTCTTGCCTTCACATTGCGTAAAGGGAAAACTTCTGGATATTTTGTGGCATAATCTGTAACTACCAACATGAAGCGATTTCCTGATTTGCTTTTCTCCACTGGACCAACCACATCCATTCCAAGGCGGTCAAACGGAATTGTTATTGTTGGGAGAGGCTGGAGCGGAACTTTAGTGGGAGCTCGGAGAGTGGTTCTTTGACACTCAGGACAGCTTTTGCAAAATCGGACAACTGCAGAGCGTAGGCCAGGCCAATGAAAATGACGCTTGATACGTGCCATGGTCTTATGTTTCCCCAGGTGGCCAGCCCATGGAATAGAATGGCCCAAGGTAAGTATAACCTCTCGGACAGTTTGTGGCACTACCAGCTGTTTGACTTGACCTTGCTGACGATATAAAATGTCCTTTTGTAAGAAAAATTCTCCCGCTGACTCTGTGGAGTCTCCATCCAAACTCAGTCTCTCTTTAGCCTTTAGAAGCAATTTTGACAGGGTTGGGTCACTTTGCTGCATTTCAACAATATTGGTTGGAAGTTTATACTTTAAGGGCAGGTGTGAATCCAGCTCACCTGGTGCCGTTACAACAGTGTGATGGAATTTCTGTTGCCTTTTCTGACTGCGTGGCTTTCTGGACTTCCCGGGTTTCGCCTCCAGCTCTGCGTCATAAAAAGGTAAAGCACTAAGAGCAGGTGATTCGTCACACCTTTTTGACTGAGCCCTTGTGACCACATTG